ACAGATTTTCTGGTGGTGGTATGATCACAGGAGCCACTTAAGGTGAAGCGAGGATAAAAGGAGGTACAGCCTCTGTATTAAGGCCCATAATTCCTCACTGCTCTGCTGGTTTGCTTCACTGTTTCTCCTCCAGTCTCCCAAATCAGGGTTTTAACAGAACTCTGTGTGTCTGTATGTGTGTGTATAAAATCGACTCAGCATGACTTAAGATCACTTACCCTCTTGGTGTGAAAAAAAAAAAAGAAACATGTGACAAGCTTTGATATCAGACTGAACTATCTGTTTCAGACCGTGATGCTTTTCTACCAAAGGAGTATGTTCCTAATCCAATTCCTCAACAGTTCCTGCAGTGTAAAACGAGACTTGAAGCAGCATGAGACAACAATTCAAGCACAGTCCTGGGAGAGATGCTTAACACAAACGATGAATAGACACTGCGTTGTCAGAAAGCATCAGGAGAGAAGGGGGAGACCTTTGAGTTTATGCAAATGCTCCTAACTGCGTGAAAAGCCAATCGACCAGAGCACGAGAAATAGGATGTTCGGTATCAAAGTGTTACACATTAAAAGTGGATAAAAGTGAGAGAGAAAAAGGAGGAGGAAAAGAAAGGAGGCTGTGTTGAGAAAGGGGGGCGTCTTTGCTTGCTGTCATGTGAAGTGTGACTGACTTTTTACTCGTTTGTGTCTGGTTCTGGTGTGTTCAAATCGAGAGCCGGGCTCATAATCCTGAGTTTGTCACAGCTCGCGGTCCGGTACTCACAACCAAGACCCCCTGCTTGTGGCTGAACACATGGGATGCATTCAAAAGTGAATGTTAGATGGGCTCGCTTTAATATAAAGGGGAAGTCTGTGAAGCTTCAAAATAAGAAAAAAAAGGCACTTTAGCTTGACTCAACTGGAGCTCATTTGCACTCAACTGCCGTAAGTTCAACATATTGCAGGCTGTTGGAGAAATGAGAGATGTTTGACTCTATAAAAGCTCAGCCAATGTGAAATGAGTCCTGTTTTTCAAGATTAGGACTGGATTTCAAGCATTCATGCTTCTTTCAAGGCCAATTTAGGGTTTAAATCAATGCAAAATATCTCAAATCAGGCATGGAGGTAATATTTATGTTTTCTTCTGTTATTTGACATCTGACTTTTTGTACTTTTTGTACTTTTTTTAAAGTTCAAAGTTAGTCCTTGCTGTATTTTCCATTGTGCTATGGTTGGGAATGAGAGATGAGGTATTTGTTGACATGCATTCTTGCTTGTCTAAGACTAAAACATCAAATGTGTATTATTCTTTCTTATTATAATGCGATCTGTCTCTGCGATAGAGGCTGCTTTGTGAACATATGGCATAAATACTGACACTCGTATTGTTGGCAATGCACAAACTTTTCTAAAACAAACAAACTCTTTCACACCTGAAGAGGGAAATAAGAATTCATTACAGTGAAATTAAACAGCACTTCTATTCATCAAGAACTACAAAAGCGTGATTCAATGACCATCCTCAAAGGCTTCTACATCCCAACATCTCGCACACAAACAAACATGAAGCAGCACATGGAATCTGATCGGCAACCATGTGTTTTTATGCCTTTAGCAGGACTCGTATTGTAAATGAAGCAGTAAATTACAATGCAAAAAGCAAATAGTGTTTTAAAGAGGAACAGATTGTTCGAAAGCTGGGGGTGTAGCGATGTGACATCTTCAGTAATGAATGTCTAGATGCAAATGTGTTATTTCAAATAGACTCATCCATTTAGAATTACTTTCTCTCTTGTGACATTTTAAATCTTTGATTTGATAAATGATCCACTAAGTGTGTTTTTTTTTTGGTAAGTTTTGACTTGTTCCAGACAAACATTTAAACTAGCTTTATTTATGATCATGATTTCTCAATAAATCAATATTTGACTGTGTATTTGTCTGGTACTGGTAACTGAAAAAGTGAAGGCTGTGTCTTTTATAACCGCAACTGTGTAGCTGCTGCTGTTTCAGTCTTGTACAAGAGTGAAGTGAGATTTAACTATTGATCAGCTGTGAGGGACACTGAAAATACTGCTCAGTGGGTTGGAGAAGTGAAGTGAAACATCCCAGAATAAATAAAGAGGATCTTCTTCTTCTTCTGGAGAATCTAAAGGCACTTAAATAGAAGGTCTGCTTGTTATAACCCACTTCACAGATTTAGCATCTTAAGTCAGATTTTCACTCTCCACATGAGGGGTCAAATATTCAGTCTGGGAAATAAAGTGTATATCGTATCGAATAATAAAGAGGTGAAAAAGTAGACGCAATATGTGCAAGAGATGTCAGGGGACTTTCTGCTGTTTGGAGAAGACTTCACTTGAGCCTTTTGGCTTGCTGTTGATAGTGGCTTTTATTTTGAAGGTTTTTGTGATACTACACACACAGCTAAGATTTTACTTTGAAGGGGAATTATACTTAAACTTTACCCTATCTAAATAATTTGATTAGACAAGAGGCATTTCACAAGAACTGATTTACCAACAAATGAAGAATCAGTCTAGAGATGTGCCGCTCTTCATCTGGTGTTCTGATTATTTTACTTCACAATTCAATAGTTACTAATTAAAGTTATTTTTCATAACCTTATCCAAAAAAAGTCAACTTTCATAGACTCTGTATTCATCAGGTATGAAGTGAGACATTTCAGGCCTTCTCTATTTGAGCTTTGATGGTTAAGAGCTCATGAAATGACTTGAAATGACTATTTCAAGATTTACTTTTATCAACAACAACAACAACAAAGGTTTTAAGATCCAAAAATGTCCTTCTTCTTAAAAGGATGTTCATGTAACTTGTCTGGGGCTCCTCTACCATGAATCACTGCATCAATGTGACCTGATTCAGAGGCCTTTGGCTCATTTGTGGTTTAGGGTTGAGTGTTCCTCATTTTATTGACAAACACTCCACAGGTACCATGTTGATATTGTATTGATATTCAGTTATTTTTTGGGCCTTTTCACCTTTTTTATTGAAAAGGAGAGCTAATGAAAGACAGGAAATGTGAAGAGTGAGGGAAACATGCCGTAAAGAGCCTCGGCCAGAGATTGAACTGGTGATCACTGCGACGAGGACTGTATCCTCTATTTGCTGAGCGCTCAGACAGCTGGACCATCAGTCCTCCATACATTAATGTGTTGATGTAAACATGAGTGTATAGACCCCACTCTGAAACCCTTTTCCCTGCTCAAAGAGAGAGTCTGCTTCTTCTTTATGCCACGTTATATCGCTCAGCTCCATACTGAGGGTTCAAGTTATTCAAACTGAAAAACAAGTTTTTAAAAATCAAGCAGAAACAAAACTTAATATTAGGCTACTAAGCTGAGTAGATCAGTATAACAGTGGGTGTGGAGGTTTAAAAAACCTCTGACTGGTTCTCCAGTCAATAAAATGGTTACCCAGCAGTGTTGAAGAAGACCGTCAAACTTTAGCAGCTGAAGAAATGAAGCCTCCATGTATTTTAATAAATCAGCATAACTTCTTATCAAAAGAAATCTTTTCTAGAAAATTACCTGATGAATTTACCTTTGGGGATCATCTACACGCCTACTTTTCTAACTGGTTTGATTCCACAACTTTGCTACAACACTTCTTTTGACCTCATTTAGGAGCTAAACTCACTCAGTATACTGTATTTTTAAGCTTTTGAAAATGAATTCTTCCACTTTTAGGTCTGTCCTTGAAATATATTTGTTTTTCTTCATACGGATACAACATTACAAAGCATTATTTCTTCTATTGATAGCCCAAGTTTCATATTTATGGCGATGTAATCAACACCAGCAATCCAAGCTTCAGCTAGGGTCCAATTAGAGTGAGGCCGACTTGGGGCAGCAGAATCGTCTGCGTTGAAATGCACCACAGTGTAATTACAGTGTCAGTGGTGCAATATGGATATGCAATAATGAGGATTTTTTTATTCCAGGACAGATAGTTAAAAACTAAATTCGTCATCCCGGGGATTGTTTATGATTGCAGTCGTTCCAGAAAGCCACGGAGGAGGAGGAGGCTTTGACGTGGGATTTTTATGATCTTCTAAATTTACAAGATTTATGGAAACATCCGTCCATAATTATGAAGTTTATTTTGGAGGGTGACTTTCGCTCCAGCTGTAGTGCACTGACACACAATAGACTTGTTCAAAACATCAACAATGATGTCCGCAGAGACGTTTATAATTGTTTGAGCACGTCCTCTTTGGGATTCTTAAAAACCTGGTTATCACACTTCCTCATAAAAGCTTTGGTTTGTGGATGCTTTAGTCGCAGTCAACAACACAGACACTGGCTCTGCGTTTTCACAGTGGGCTAAAAGTGTCCCCACTTTCCACTGATTCCACAATGCTTACTTCATCACTTACAATAGCAGCAGAATGAAAACAGCAGCTTTGGATTTTCCTACATGAAGGTCAGGATCAACAGCAGTTCATAACATGCCTCCTCAGTGACAAACATGTCATCAGAAAGGATCATAAACCATGAAATAGGAGCATTAGCTCCATTATCCAGGAAATTGCCTCCCTGGCTTCACAAGAGGCTCGACATCACAGGCTAACAGAAATGGAAATGCCTTTACAGCTTTATTTGGATGTACACTTCTATATGTAAAACACAAACATCCGCTTCTGCTCTGCATGAAGTGAGAATAAATACACTTCTGACTGCGAGGTCGATGTATCTGCAATGATGTTTCAGGGTTTATTTTTACAGTAGAGGGAGTCTATTGGGTATCTAAGGGTTATCAGGGCCGTAGATAAAAACTCAGCTCAATATTCCAGCTGGTTACTCACATTACACTGGCCTCTTACACCACAAGGTCATTTCAAGTCCCTGAAGCCTCCTTATCTCCGTGCTCCTGTGTATTACACTGCATGGGTGTGCTCCATGATAACAGATGTGAGTGTATATGTATGTGTGGGATGTCACGGAGACCTGCATCAGAGAAAAAATATCAATCCCATGAAAAGTCAAAAGATCATCAACTGGATGCCTTTGAATGCAATCAGATTTATTTTGTAGTCTCACCGTGTAAAAAAAAAAAGAAAAGGCTCAGATTGCAGCTGGCTCTTCACAGAAGAAGCGAACATACTTCACGAAAATGTGAACGCAGAACACACACATACAAGGAAATTAGACACAAATAACTGGTTGCACATGGTTGTAAAATTCTACATTGCTAATATTATTTTAACATTGGCGTTAACACCCGTTAGAAAACAACACTAAAAAAACAACAACAGCATGATCGGTGTGTTTTACAGGGTTACGACTGTCCTGGGGAAAATATATTAAGTGCTAACAATGTAGTTTTTTTTTTAAAGAAAGTAAATCTGTACAGTTAGACTTTAGATTCTCACTAAAATAATCTTTTGAACAATTATGTCATTTTATAAATTAATTTGAGGGAAAAATAGACTTTCTCAATTTTCAGTTTTAAAAAAATCAGAAATTTAACTGATTAGCTTATATACTTCGATTTATCATTTTAATTTCACTACGATGATTTGTTTAAAAATATAGGAAAATTTAAATTAAATCCACCCTTGGGTTATTAGATTTTTGTAACTACATTGTAGCAGAGAATGTAGAAAATTTAATAGAAAATACGTATAAATCCGGAGCAAAAATCAATGTTTGTGTACACCAAAAAGAGCCCTTTGACTATCAGGAATCACCTCCAACTAAAATATGAAATATTGCAGTTAATATATATGATTTTGCAAAATATATTAACTAAGTAAAGCCAGAAATTAAAGATCCTGTGTATAAAAAAACCTAAACAAACAACAACAACATCACAATCACAAAATAAGCTTGTGTGCATATCTACACGTTTTTTCCAACATGAGCATCCACCAATCAGCCTCCAAAGTGGTCTGCAATGTGTACAGAGGAGTGAGATGCTCTTTGTTTACCCATAAGCCCCTCTGCACTGTGCTTGGGTCCGAGGCAGAGAGGACAGAGGGGAGGCAGAACATTCGGGAGTCCAATCAGAGAGGACAAACTCAGTAAAAGGTCCCGTTACTGCCACAAAGCAGCAGAATCCAGTGTCCAGTTTCTAACCCACTCCAACTCCAGTTAAACCAGTTCAGTCCCAGTAGGGGGCGCAGCAGTCCTGCCTGACTTGTCTAGAAAATCCATATTTGCCTCCAAAAAGTCTTTTTTTCGTTACAGAATCTGAAAACAATCATGTTGGGATCAAAATTAGGCAGTCAAAAAATGTGTGGAAACTTATCTCCACCAGTGATCATCAAAAACAGTAAGTGACTGATCTGCAGCCTGACTCATCCAGCACAGCAGTGAGTGATCATTTGGTCACTTTTTAACCAGAGGGAGGTTCTTAGAAAAGTTTAAAAAAAATTTAAGTAAAAAATTACCATCGTGTGTGTAAAAAAAAAAGAAAGAAAGAAGGAGGAGGGAAACTTTTCAGGCGCTTGTGTTCCTCCAGCATCAGGCTTGGATATGAGTCTCATGACGTGTAATATTCTTCTCTTCTACTTACACAACACTTAGGAGAGGAAAATAACAAGAAATGAATCACTGTGATCCCACATGTCAGTCCCTGAGTCACTGTGGTTCTGTTCTGGCGAAAACACCTGATTCTTCCTGGATTTTTTATGGTAAACAGACACATGATGATGATGATGATGATGACGGTGGTGGCGTCTGTCTTTAGCAATAGCTTAGCATAGATTGCATTGTGTCATTCACTGTCTGAGTGTAGATTGCATCGTGTACTCTGAGTAGCGTTTCCTGGTCCTGCAGAGGACAGGTGGTGAGGTCAGCGGTGATGAGGTCTGTTCAGGAGGTCAGGTAATCAGCAGGAGGAGGACGAAGAGGAGGAGGAGGAGGAGAGGAGGTGAAGCTGTCCTCAGTGAGCAGACACTGTTTGATGGTGCAGTTTCTAACAGAGAGGAAAGAAACATTGTGAGTGAAATAATGGTTTCAAAACACTTTTTACAGGAGAAGTATGTAGAGACTTGTGACTTTAGCACCTTAAACTCTAAAAACCCTGATTCTACACAATTTCCAAGATGGCAGACGACTGTCAACCTGTGAGTATGACTCTCTGTCAGCCCTCTGTGAAAGGCGGGGTTTGTTTTTCTGGTCACTATTGCTAAACATTGTTCATACTGAGTGTCCGTCTTTCATCATGAGCAGGGAAGGGTTTGTTTAAAAGGAACATTTTTACCACTATCAAGCCTTACGTCATGTGCTGATGACACTATCGATACTATTTGGTAGAAAGAAAGAAAAATACACTTTTATCAGAAGAGGTTTAGCTTTAATAAATGACCTGACCTCGAACACATCATAATGTTATCTGATACCACTCAGTTTCTTTAGCTACCCTGCAGGTTTCAACTTTGATTTCGTTGATACGTTGATAAACGTTTTAACTCACACTGAAACTTGTGACAAAGTTTAGGTATCCTGATGTATTTTGCACGATGCTAATTTTGCTAAGCCATTGAGGTTGTGTTACCCGTTTGCAAATTCTTATTTTGTAACTTAAACTGCATTTTGCTTCCTCCGTATATTTTCCTTTAGTAAAATACAGCCAAACGTTAAACTTCCTCATAAGCAACTGACCAACAGATTTCCTATTTGCAGTGTTTCATGTCACTGTTGGCTGGAGTTTCAGAATTATTCAAAAACTCTATTAGATAATTGATTAATGTTTTAGCAACAGTGCTTCGATTTAAATGAGGTGACCCGACTTAAGATATGGCAATACCTGAGGGACAAAAAGGACTTTGTAGGAGAACAGAGAGTCTTAAAAGTTTGGAAAATTCTGATTTAAGGTTCTGAAAAACGCAGAACCAGGTGGCGAATAGAACTGGGTTTTGATTCCCAGCTCTCTCATCAGATAACACCCGTCGAGATCTAAAAATAAAAATTAATTTACAGGGTTGTATTTGAAGAAATGCACAAGGTCTCAGTTCTCTGACTTTTGGGTGTTGTTTCATGCAATTTGGAGATGAATTGTGATACCAACCACAACATGGCCGATTGTTATAAACTCCTGCAGCAAAGATTCAAAAACTGACCTTTTGCTTCCACAAGCTATTATTTTGTAACATGTGGGTCACGGTATACTCACATAACCATGTATACAGCCAATTATTCGAAATAATATTCACAGATAATAAAAATTTGTTTAAATTTTTCTTTTTTTTCGTGTTTTCTTGTGAGCATCTGCGGGGCGTCCTCGCTGTGTCTGTGTTTGGTTCTCATAAGCAGGATAGGAAAGTGTCTTTTGTAGACGTACATAAATGTTGATTATCTTTATTAAAACGATAAGTGCAGCAAGGGGTGACACACAGAGTGGTGAAATAAGGAAACAAGAGGGAGAGATTTTGAATTAAAACGGTCGTATTTTCATTTTTCTGTCTTCGCATCAAAGGCCGTAACTCATTAAAATGAGCGCTTTTCAATGTGAGACACAGACAAAAACAGAGATATTTCATATGCTCTTTAATACATGTACACTCAAAATGTCTTTTAATGATAAACCAAGTTGAAAATGTTTGATCTCACCTTGTATTTGTTTTGAGCCTTCAGATGCTGCAACAGAAGCGAGAAAAAAAAGAGAGAAGACTTAAGATAAAGTTGAGGCAAAGATACAAGTTGCTGATTAGTCATTTCTGCATGCTTAACTTTCTCATAAAGCTGCAGCTCAGTGGAACAAAAGAAGCCAGAAACAGACAAATGACCAGGGGGAGGTATTTACCATTACTCAAAGCCTTACGCCATGAAAAATGAGTACTGACTGGCTGTGCAACCCTAAATATGTCCCCTATGCAAATTCTCTTAAAGGTCGGATAAAAAAAGAGCTTGAGTAGCACGGCAACAGGAAAAGATAGTGTTATGGAAATTAGGAGGAGTAAGAGTGATCGTGATTATACAGGAAATGAAAAAGAAGGGGGAAAAGGAAAAACACTGGTGAAAATTTAAAACGACAGAGCGAAACCAAGAAGTGGACAGAGGATGAAAGGAAAGGCAGCGGAGACTTGAGTGAGAAAGTTGGGCGGAAAGAAAAAGAAGGTTGGAAAGATTGAAACAAGGTCAGACAGAGAGAAACAGGGAGGGAGAGAGAGGGAGACGGGATAGGGGGGTGTTTGTGTCTGGGCGTCACTTTCTCAGCAGGGGGCGGACTAAAAGGAAATAATGGAGGGCAGGATGGAAGGATGGCGGGATAAAGGAGGGGTAGGAGAGGAGAGGAGGTGAGGAGACATGGAAAAGGAAAAAAAAAAATTCAGGTAGCGAGACTAAAAAGCGGAAACGGTTAAAATCCCTGCTACAGAAAAGGCAACAGGGATGAGGCTGTGCAATTGTACCTGTCATTAAATCGACTTACAGCCTTGAACCTACCCCTGACACCACAACCCCACTGACTCTTTCACACACGCAAGCATGCACACACACGTTAAGACAAAGCGTGTATTGATGTCTCCGGGAAAACTACCACCTATCCACATCCCGCAGCGATTGACTGAGATTACGGGAGAGGAAATGGGACACTGGGAGCTCATCTGTTGCAGAGTCGCACAGCAGAGGGGGGAAAGGATTTATTAAATGAAGGCTTAGCGTGGAAACACAGTGTTTGCCTGTAATATCCGTCTTGTACCTACAGGTCCTGTGCAGCAACATGTCACTCCCACAGACGGACTAAATTACTCCCAGGATGTGTACAGCTAACGACCATCGAGGGGTTAACGAAGCATTAAATAGCACGCTGGGCCCGGGCTTCTCTCTGAGCTGCTGTGCGGGCCTGTGTGTGTGTGTCTTTGTGGGTGTAATTGTGATTGTTTGAGGGAAAAATCAAAGCAAACAGATAAAGAGCAGAACTCGTGTTCTACATAGTTTCATCTACGTACTCAAAACAGAAGAAAAGTCCTGCTGTTTTCTATTGAGGTGGAATTTTCTTATTAAAAACGTTGCTTTCAGATACCAGGCGGCAGGAAGTCTTAAAAATCAGAGGTTTGAAGTGTTTTGATTTAAGAACAAGTCCCTAGTAGGTCTTAAATGCTATCAATTAAGCCTTTTTTTAGTAAATTAAAAACACTTATTTCATAATTTATTAAAGATAACGTAAAGATTAACTTTTACAGTTTAGGAAGTTTTTAATGCAGACGCCTGAATGCTCCAAGTATATTAAATAACACATATTCTTCTGACTATCGAGGCCTTTCTTCGTCAGTCTTTGATTTCTCTTTTACAAATAATTAACCCTTTTCCCAACAGCATCCAAAAACGCCTCCTCTACGCCACGCCACAATCGAGAGCGAAAACTCCCTCTTGGTAAATGCCTCGTGTTTACCCGTCTGTGCCTGATCTCTATATTTTGATCCGTTCTTAATCAAATCATCATGAAAAAAAACTCTAGTACGGTCTCTGGTTTGTGTCAGCCTCATAATTTTGGTCATGGCGAGCTCTGCCACAAAATGGCGACCATGGCGGTGTGACTGTAAAAGAAAAAAAACAGTGCGGTCTCTGCACTGCAGTCAGGCACATGCAGCATGTGTGACTACACTTGCACAACCTTGGCTAAATGTGTGAGTGTGTCTGTGTGAGTGCAAACCAGTGTGAGTGTGTGTGTGAGAGAGTGTGTGTGTACGTCTCCAGTCGGCAGAACGCCCCACTGCAGAGACTGACACTGTTCCACCATCCCACCTCTCTACTTATGCCGCCATTTTATACAAGCAGAAGCTAACGCTAACCAAACCTTGAGGTTAAGCGGCGAAAGAATAAATAAAAGTAAAATGCGAGATAAGATAAAAAAGCGGCGAACAAAATCGCAATTTGACAAAAGCGGTTTAAACTCAAAGTACTGAGTTTGGAATCGGGGAGAGGTTGGTTTTGGTGGGCGCTGTGTGAGTGCGTGTCTGCTGCCTGCTTTTGAGTTTTGTCCTTGTGTGTCCTGAGTTCAGAGGGTACAAAGGTATTTGGGAGAGGGTGGAGGGGGTGGAGGGGAGCAGCGATGTAAGAAATTTCAAAAAAAAAAGAAAAAGGAAAAAAAAAAAAGGAAGAAAATAGCATGAAAAAAAAAGAAAGAAACTGTGGAAAATGGTGAAGCTCTGCAAACTGAAATGAATGCAATGGACTGCTCACAGCGGGAGGACGACAGAAAAGGAGGGAAGAGAGACAGAGAGAGGAAGGGAATCAATTAGACAGAGAGAGGGAAGTCGGTCTGTAATGGTTTCTCACAGTGGGACGGCTGCAAGAGAGAAAAGGCGGAGAAGGCAGAGCGGCAAAGAGAACAAGAGAGATAAACACAACAGGAGGAGTTTTAAGGAGAAGGTGTGTAGCCCAAAAAAAAAAAAAAAAAAGAGAGGTAAGTACAGAGTGAGAGGCGAAGCGAGATGGTGAAAGATGCACAGAGGGCTGCCGGCAGGGCGCAGGAGATTTCACATGACAACTGTCTGCTGATGCCAATTCAGAGCCTTGTTTTCTGATGCAACACCTTTCTGCTAAGCTCTTTCTCTGGCACGAGACTCGACAGCAGTGTGTTCAAATACACATCAAATCGTAGCGGAAAAAAACGAAATCGAACCCGAGAGAGGCAGAATTATTCTTTACTGTGCTGCGATCTACAAGCAGGATAGGTTCATTAAGAGCTTCCTGCGCCTCTGAGTGTGATGGTCTGTGTTCTCGGGTTAAATTAAGGTGATAAACACACAAGTTTTCACACACCAGAGAGGAGACAGAGGGACTGGTGAATGGTGGCTCACCTTGGAGCAATGACAGCATACCTGACGGACCCTCTCACTGTCAGCACTCTGTCCTTCAGACTAATGTGACAAAGGTGTGTGTGTGTGTGTGTGTGTGCGTGTGTGTGTCTTTTCTGGTAATTAATTCAAAGAGCTACAGCAGGGCATCCCCTCCTGGAACTACCCTTTAATCACACGGGCTTCTTCTGGGATGGGGGGAAAAAAAGTGTTATGGTAGAGAGGTGCGGGGTTTGAAGTTGGCACACCAGAAGAGATGTAGCTGAAGGACAAGAAAGGCTGCCATGACCAAAGGCCACACACACACACACATGCGCACGTACACACACACTAGCTCTGCTGCCATGCTACCTGTCAGATAAAAGGCAGTCTGAGCAGGAAGGAACCAGAGAGTATGTAAGGTGTTACCACAGGGAGCAACACAACAAGAGCTGTGGTAAACCACCACTAATGGACAGCCGAAGAGTGAAGGAGGAAAAAGACAGGAAGACCCTGCAACTCTCCTTCATCTCTTTCTTCATCTCATCCCCTCGCTCCGGCCTCATGCCTCCTCATCGCCACACACATACACACACACACACCACAGAGATGGAGCAGAGACTATTGTATAAATGGAGATACAAAAAAAGAGATAGAGAAGATAGGAAAGGTGGAGGAGCCTTGGGATGGTGTGTGTAGAGAGGGTGGGGGGGGACTGTGGATGGCACCTAGATTAGTTTTGCTCCAGTAGTGAAAGATCATAAAAAATGAGGAAGGGAGGAGAGAGCGGAGAAGACAGAGAGAAGGGGAGGATTAGTGCCACTTCAGGAATGACAGAAGACTAAAATAGAAAGAAAGAAAAAACTGGACGGAGGGTGGGATGGGGTGGGGGGGTGCGAAAGACAAGGACAGGGAGATCCTCAAATGTAGTCTGGATTAGTTTTGGTTAAAGAACAGGATGAGAAGGAGAGAAAAAAGACAAGAAAGGGAGACAGTAAATGGAAGGATGTGTGTCTTTGTGGGTTGAAATCTTCCTAATGTGGAGTAATGGGCTTAAACGGTGAAGTCAAGTGTGCATGTTTGTGTGTTTGCGCACGCATCTCTGTGTGTCGAGGCGAGTCCAGGTGATTTCAGATACTTTGATTTTTTTCTGGCTCCAATAATCTGATCAGGGAATTCTGTCAGAAGGTCAAGACGACATTAGCATTTGCTCGCTGAGAAACTATCTCTGGTATTTCTAATTAATAACAGCAGGATAATTAACATATAAAAAAAGTCATCAGCCTTCACTGTGGTAATAGTGCAGCAAATTAGTCCCCGTCTCGCACCGGAACAGTGATGGCATTTAGCAATTCATTTGAGACGGATGGGGCTCTTTCTTGTTCCAGTTTTTAATATTTTCTCTCCACTTTGCGTCATAAATCTAATCAAGGCGGCCATGATGGGAGGTGTTCGTTAAAAAACATGTCGGGATTTTAATGAATGGTTCACACACACACACATCCTCACGAGCAGTTGGTCTGTGTGTGTGTTCGTTCAGCCTGGGACGGCACGACAGGCCCCCCTGTAGATAGCACTGGGATGGGAACTGGGACAGACGTATCAGACATGCTTATGAGGTCGCACACACGCACGCACATTTGTATAAATGCAACCTCCAGAAAGGCTCACAGACTCATGCACAAAAACACAAAGTGCAAGGAACAAAAATGAATGGTCAGAGTTGTATAAATGCTCTCTCTCTTACACACACACACACACTCACACACACACTCCAACAACTGTACAGGGATTCCCACAGTGACTGGGCAACATTCCCAACCGGAATGGGCAGCTCACTGGACTGGAAGACTAACATTACTCCAGGCGCACTCTGGATTAGATCAACGCTGGGAATTTCACAGTGGGACGGAGAGATGGAGAGTGGGAGAATGAGGGAGACAAGCAGGTTAGAAAGAGAGGAGAGAGAGAGAGACAATGGAGGGAGGGGTGGAGGAGGGAGAAGAGAGGTGCACTTGAGCTTCAAAATATCCCCTCAAACCAGTTCGCCATACTGCTCAACTGCGCCGTGCTACAAGATGCTATCTGTCGTTTGCGCCGCTATCTAGCAAACGCAACATTTGAACCTTTATCATGCTACATGCACACATCCTCAAATGTAGCTTACAAACTTGCTAATGTAATGTAAGGCGGTGCTAGTTTATCTAGAACATGCTGGTATCAGCTGTGGAACAAAGGTAGCCAAACGGTCATGGAAGATGGGTCCAATTGGTGTCTAATTTAAGACAATCTTTTGTGCATTTTCCTCAGAGTTAAAGAGAGAAACACAATGTGGGATAATTTAATTTACAACCTGCAGCACAGCGTTATAAAAGCCTTTTAGCTTCCAACCTGAACCTGTTGTTAAAAGGAAATTTAACGCCATGTGTAAATGGTAAACTCAGCCAAAGGAGAGTGAAAAGTGAGATTCATGCGGTGATTTTTGAGAGAGATAAGTGTAATGTTTTTTCAAGCTGCAGTTAATGTAAGGATATAAAGAAGAGCTGCACTAATTTCCATTGATAAAAAGTGGAAGATTAAAGCAGCACTTGTTCAAAAAAGAAGGCAGAAAACAGAGGGAATAGTCGTGGAGATGAGTAGCAGTCTAAACATCTTGCTACGCTGCCTTGATAGTAAAGATGAGAGAGGCGAAGAGAGGAGGCACAGGGTGTGAAAAAAGGGTAAAGCATGAAAGGAAAAACAGATGAAAAGAGGAGTCTACTCACTAGGCTCGCAGCACACGGTGACACGCAACTTCATACATGGCAGAGGAGGGCCTTCATCTGTGGGCAGAGCTGGAAAGAACAAAAAGAAACAGAGCGATGGCTTTAAAAAACACTGCAAAATGCTAATATGTCAAATAAAAGAGAAATGTGTCGAAACTGAATTGAATTTTCCATTAAATCCACTTTTTGAGCGCTCTCTTGGTAATTTTGAAGGATTTACATGACCAGATCAGCGGTTGTTTCCCCGTTTCCATCACCTCAACGCCTCATTTTGGTACATACGAGTGACGAATGGCATCATATCTTTGTGTCGCCGAGACCGACATGTATCACACTTATCTGCACAACCAAATAAAAACAATATAACACAAAATGAAGAGTGCAGCCATAAAAGTCTGCAACTGCTCCGATATCAATACTGATCACAGCTCACAAGGGGAAACAGGCAAACATCAGCTGTATTACCTGTCAGCGGAGTATTGCTTTCATAAAACAAATCTGCCCAGAAACTGCACTTTAAAGGCTTTATATTAGAATTACTCACAAACAGATGCTTACTCAACAGGGACTCTCCACACAAGCTGAGTGCGTGATGGCAGGTAGTCTGTCTCACTTTGTATCTCTAATTTCAGCTGATAAGATACAGCACAGAATAACAGGAGGGAGGTGATAAGGCGCTATCTACAGTGGCTAAGAGGGCTCATCTCAGAAGGACAAAACCTCAGCAACAACAAGGAAAACGTCTCGAAATACTCGCAAGAACGTGTCGGATCGGAGATGAATTTCAGGAATCAGTGAGCAATTTCGGCGAAATGCAGAAAACTCGAGGGAAACTTTGAAAATTATACACTATAAATCAAATATGAGCGCCAACTCTGACAGAAATGTGATGCAATGTTCAAATTTCAGCGAATGATTATTTCAATTTGAAACAAAAATCGTACCCAAGGTCAACCTTGAGTTTTTTTTTTTTTCAGGATTGGATCTTAGACACTCAACTTAATTCTCCTCCATTTGAAAAAGTTTCGGTTGACGTGGCCTGTTATGAATTTCACACACAAGTCTGATGTGGGAACATAAACCCACAGAAAATGGACATTTAAAGGATGTAAGAGTCTACAGGCACTACCCCTAAGTGTGCGCACTGCAAATAGTCTCTCTACTTTTAAAACCCAACTGAAGACGCACGTGTTCACCTTAGCTTTTGACGGAGTATGATACTTGTATTGGTTATATATTTGTTTTTATTTACATTTATATGTTACATGTCTTTTGTTGCTGCTGTTTGTTGTGTATGACCTGCTTTTATTGCTACTGCTTCGTTATTGTAAAGCATTTTGGTAGGCCGCTGGCTGTTTAAATGTGCTATACAAATAAAATTGACATTGACATTGACTAAAGTCTAAAGTTAACGACAATAGCACATGTGAGCAAATTCCTTAAGATGGCAAAAAAGAAGAATATTTCTCAGGATACATGTGCTTCAAATTCAGATTCAAACCCAATTTAAAAGAAAAAGAACAACAGAAATGTTTGAATACACAAACGATTACAAAGATGGAGACTCCTCGACCCCGAGAATACAGGCTCTATTCGCAAAATAATTGGACTTTCTGGATTTGGTGGGTCTGCACACATTTTCTGGGTTTTGTTTTTCTCCCTTAAGGCTTCCAATATGTTTGTTTGTTTCCCTTCTGCAGCACTTTTTTAAATATGTAGTGTGTTTCGATTGTATTTAATAAGTTGTTGTTGCTCATGTCTTTAGTTGCAGCCTTTGTTAACATGTTTATTATTTGGGTGCTGTAGTAAAAGCATTCACTGTTAGCAGAGGATTTCAGAGTTTCTGTAAGCATGTACTGGATCCAGGGGCACCACAATAAAGTACATTAAGTCAGATTTCAGCAGGACTCAATAATCTTTTTAGCTGTAACATCCTGAGACCTGCATATTTGTGACATTACTTATGGCATACCATAACAAATAGGTTTTTAGTGTCCGTCAAACTTCAGTTGTGTGTCCGTTGGTCTGCGTTTATTAATTTCAGTGCGTTTCTTTGACCACAAGGTATTGTCAAATTGATATCTGAGTCTAGTTAACCAGCTTTAAGGGAATTACTTAAAAATAATGATCATAATAAATGATTTAAGGAGGAAAAATAATAATATTAATCTCTCGTCAGCTCAGCTCCATCTTTGTTCACTGAATTTTGTTTGTCCTGAGTTTGTACAGCTCCTTCGTTCCTTTCAAGTTTCCTTTCGAGCGGCAGTGACCTTGTCTCAGCCGCCCCCAGACCCTGCAGAGAGGGCTGGTTGATTGGGCGACCCCCTGCCAGTTTCTCAACCATCTTGAGCAACACACGGACCCGACAGGAGGGGGTTTGTTTGGGTGGTTGGAAGGTTTAATCATTTGGTCATTTAGTTTGTGTGTTAGTCATTTAGATTTCTGAGATTTATTTAGTAACGTAATCATCATATTTACCTTTTCCATTTTTTTAGTTTAATTAGTTGTTTTAAAAGTAATGAGGACGTGTTTTTGTGTTTCTGGAGTTTCATTTTTTTAACTAAGCTCTTCGTGTGATCACGACTCTCGGCGTTTCTCTGTCAGGATCAGCTGACTCTCACAGGAAGTAAAGGTGCTTCATGTTTGTGGGGATCCACACATGCAGTGGGCAGACACTCATGGATAGTATGCTGTCAGTGTCATAGCCTGTGGGAGCCACAGAGAGCAGCTGAGCCAACTAATGCCATTAGTGTTTCTAATACTATTGTACTGGTCTAATGCCATTATTCTGTCTCCAGTGCTGCGGGTCCATTCAGTACACAAACCCCAGAGCCAGACATTTGGACCAACTTTACGCCTTATCTTTGATGTGGACAAAACACACACAATCGTTCTGCCCCCGATGCGGTTCAACCTAGAGGGGGGCACCCATTGTTGCTTTTCTCTGAACTGGCCTGAGCAGCCACAATAGCCCAGTGTGTGTTTTGGTGTGTACATATATACATGTGTGTTGCTGTGTGTGTAAAAACCACTCTCTCATGCCCTTACAATGCTCCATTGTCCCCTGGACCCGCAACAGTAATTTATGTAAAGATTCTTTCTTTCCCTTCGACTGATCCATCCCTTTTGTTGCTCTCACTTTTCTTTCAGCAGATTCCTCTCATCTAACCCCCCCTCCCCCTTCCTGTACTGTTAGACTGTGTCCATCTTTTGCGATTTCTCTTTCTCTGTCACTCCTCCACGCTCCTCTACCTCTGCCTGCCTTTTTTTCTTCTCCCTCCTTGTCTTCTTGTATTGATCTCCATTTCTTCCCCCTTCACATTGCGGGTCCCTCTCTGTCACTTTGTTGTCACCCCTCCATACCCTGCTCTCACCTTGACTCTTTCATTCCCTGCCTTGTTTCGTGTCCTTCTCTTCCTCTTCCTCTTGGCAGGAGTGACACCAGGTGTTGTAAAAATTGAGAGCAAAAATAATCAACTAAACTATCTCCTGTCCCTCCAGAGCTTTGAAGGAAATGAGTGAAGGTAGAGGAGCACTGGAAAGTGTGATTGTAATGTAACATCCTACAGGTTTCAGAAAACACCAAATTAATGTCATTCACCGGGAATTTATGGAAAATGTTAATACTATAAGCTGCAGTTTGCCAACACTCAAAGGCTCATTAAACTGGCTGAAACTGCATCTTTCAACACGCCACTTTCTCCAACATGTCCTCGAATAGTCCTATGAATGGAAGCATTTACATGTTTTTCCTTTTTTCACTCTGTTTACTTTATCCAAACAAAAACGAGAACTAAAAAGAACTCTCTGTACTTAGTGAGAGCCATACCAACTATAGAGTTAAGATGATAACTTCTAAATCTGAAATGAAAGGAAAACTATCTCTGAGACTTCGGTAGTCAACTAGTAATTACTGATTAAAAGTCCTGCTAACACAGGGTTTTTATAGTTGTTACAGTTTAATTCCTGGGGTGAGGGTTACCTAAGGATAAAATGTTACACAATTTTAGCTCCTTTCAGAGCTCAGACTTTGATTTTCACTTACTGAGCCATGAATATGTAATAGGAGTTCAGCTTCTCAAGGGCTTAAAGTTATTTTGCAAGCAAAAATTCCCAACATCGCCGACTTATTCTAAAGTGAACATAGCATACTTGGGTAGTTTATCACTGGACAGAAAAATGATTCCCAACCATCAGTCTGAAAATGCAATCTTAGGATCATCTATAGGAAATGGTTACGGACACTTTTCACTTTTTTGTCATTGCATGTAGTCCATTGATTTTTTTTTAAATATTAATTTCATTAAACTGGTTTGCATCTTATGTCCCAAATATGACAGATAAGTTTCTGAATATGAAAAAAAGTGTTTAGTACTAAATTAGATAAGTAGTCAGATATTTTCTGATAAGACCACAGAAAAAAAAAACAAACAAAAAAAAAACATTTTTGCAGCTCCTCCTCAAGATTCCTGCTCCACCCACTGCCCATTACTTTGTGAGCACACATGCAGACCACTGACAGGACCACAGAGAGTTTGGATGTTACTATTGGAAGTTACTTGTACAAAGTGGGTGACGCAGGAAAAAAAAAAAAAAAAAATCGGGTCAACAGCTCACACTAGAAAAGTTTGGAAGTGTGTTGCTTCACACTTCTCCATGCAGGTGTTAGAGGGCTGGACCCACTGTGGTAGAAGTATGTAGTAGTTCTGAAAATTAAAGTGTAATTGTTTCATTTAAAATTTCAATTTGATAGAAGGTACATCAAAACACACTGAGTATATTCAGTGTAACTTCCTGTATTTTTCATGTTGCAGTAGGGGTGGGAATCACGAGTGGCCCCAACGATACGATATTATCACGATACGATATTATCACGATACGATATTATCACGATACGATTATCCCAATACGATATTATCACGATACGATATTATTGGGATTTTTAACATTTTGCAATACAGTGAGTATTGTGATACAATATATTGCGATTCATACAATTTTTCAACTCTTTAGCTAATTTAGCATTTGTCTTTCCTTAATGTTTGTTTTATTTACGCTGTATTTTATTTTCATGTGGTACATCTTGCAAACCTTTTATATAATTTGTTGTACAAACTTTCTCCTGCTCTATGATGTCACCTCTGCCAACCTCACTGGACAAACAGTTGATCTTATTTTTCTATTATCATAGATTTGACTTCATTTTAGCAATTATCTTGAAAAATCGATACTTGATAAATGAGACGATACAATATATCACCAGATAAAATATCGCGATACTATTCTGTATCAATTTTTTCTCCCACCCCTATGTTGCAGTAGCTTTTTTCCCTGTATTGTGCAGTCCTAGTGCATGAGTAAAAAGGATATAAGCAGAGATAAAAAGAGAGAATAATTCAATTCTAATTTATTCAATTATGACATCCTCTACTCACAGCTGTAGTAGTAATGTCGCCCTGGTAGAAACTCGAACCCCAGCGAAAATGGTGTAAACCTTTGGATCTTCTCAGAGAAGCGGACCGGTCCAAAGGGAGCGAAGGGGGTGTTACACTCCCACCTCTTGATGGATCTCCTGGTCTCCACGCAGCCCTGGAAGGAGGCTTCTGCCACCAGGTAGAGGGCCAGCGTCTCTGGCTGCCCATTCCCCACACTCCCCTTGTTTGGATAGTATGGGCAGTAAATGTCCAGGTAGTCATTCAGATTCACCTGGACGGACAGATCTCCTGCTGCTAACCTGTGAGGGAGGATGACGACTGCATTAATATTTGACAAAATGATTACACTGAGTGAGACATGACCGAAGGGGAAGAAGAGGAGGTGATTAATCCAAGACAGAGAGAGGAAGAAGACAGATGAGGAGTTTCTCATCATTCCTTTGTGCCTGGAGGAAAGTGGACGGTTACAGCAGATGGATAGTTCATCAATATCATACAAAACAATTACGCAGGGTGATAAAGCAAAGATTTGTGGAGTTGTTTTAGCAAAATATCAATGATAAAACCAAGATGGTACAACAATTCATATGCTAATGAAGACCACTGAGGGGAGTTGAGCATTAAACAAACTCAGCTTTCCACTTTCTCTCGACACGCTACAGATTTACAGGCGTGTACTGACTTATGCAGGCGTGCGTGTGCATTTACAACCCCCCTCTTCAGTCAGGGTTGACTGGCTTTAAGCATAACAACAACTCCGGACAAGACAGCATCATTAGAACAGAAGAGCTGCATTATGCATGCTCCTTCAGACTGTAGATCCTGACTTCCTGTCAGCTGCTGTATAAAGAGTTCCCCGTGTACGAGCTAATATGGAGGAGGAGAAGACAAGACAAAGTATGATCATACAACTTTGTGCGGAGTGTAACCCCACATGAAAAATCAGAGCAGAAGAGAGAAATGAGGAGTGAAATGTGTGACAAATGGAGGGAAGGAGTGGCAGTGACATGAGATGAGACTGAAGTGGAGGATGGATGAAAAGTGAGGTTATTGAGATGAGGCTGGAGCAGACAGGTGGAGCCGGAAAAATGAATAAAGAAACCAAAAGAAGAGGAAAAGTTGAGTGAACAGGTGAACTAACTTAACGGAGTAAAGGAAAAAAGAAAGTAAAGAGTTTTAATTAGTGACCCTGGAGAGTCTGAGTGCAGACACATGGAGAGGAGAAGAACAGCGGAGTGGAAGAAAGAGAGGAGACGGGCTTTAATTGGACTCCTCTTCACGTTGAGCGCAGGAGAGAAAAAAGGACGAGGGTCAGGATGCAGCTTGGGCAGAGGGTTCAGGTTCATCAGTGGGAGTCTTTATAGAGGGGTGACAGAGCGGAGGGGAGAGAGAGAGGAAAAAGGGAGTGCTGGGAGCCAGTCGAGGGGAACATGGGAGGGAAAAAGGAGCGTGGAGGAGGGAGGGGAGGGGATGGGAGGTGAGGGCGGCGCTGGGCAGCATGAGTAGTCTGAAGTTAAGTAGGCGGACAGAAAGGACAGCAAAAGAATAAATGAGAGGAAGAGAAGGGAAAGAGGAGAAGATAGAAGTCATGAAATGAAACAGATAGACATGACAAGAGGCAGCAGACTGAGGTGGTCCAAAGATGGATGGAGCGAGCAACGAGAGAAGAAATGACAAGAAACCGCCCGAGAGTAAAACTGAAATAGACATCCGCGCTTTCTGTTAACTTTGAGCTCGAATGTTGGTGCAGTGGTGCACGTTCCTGAGTGAGATAATGGAGCAGAAAGGCACTAAAGTGTGTGCGTGTGTGTGTGTGTGTGTGTGTGTGTCTGTGTGAGTGTGTTTCTGTGTGCGTGAAAAAGCAGGTGAGACCCTGGAGGCAGGTTTCACCAAAGCTGCTTCCTGCTCAATAGCTAGCGCACAGAATTGGCAATCTATCAGCGGGACAGGACGCCATCGATCTGGATTGCTTGCTCAGGACACACACACTCACACACACACGCACACACTCTCCACTGATCAATATCCTTTCTGTGGATGTCTCTGTAAGGGTGTGTGTCTGTAAGTGTGTGTGTGTGTTTGTGTCTGTAAGTGTGTGTGGCCAGGTCGGATATCTCTATTACCTGGATGTGCTAATTACAGATGAACAAAGGTACTCTATTGTCTGGTTAAAGGAACACCAAAGCACATAAGCCTTTTTAGCACGCACACACACACACACACACACACACACACATACGCACACACAGCAGCTAGTTTCTTGGCGCTACCTGTGGTGCTTTCCTGATGTACAGAAATGTTTTCTTGCTGTGGAAAAGTGTGTGTATGTGTAATAATTGATGTGTCCTGTGTCAACATGCAGCACCCTCTGCCACACGTCATTCACTCCAAGTTTCCTCTCCATCTCTCATCATGTCCTGTTTCCCCTTCACCCTCTTTCCCTCCTCTTTTGGGTGACACACACTCATCCAAAACCAACTGCTTCAGAGAGACCACCCCCCCTGCTCTCCCACCTATTTCTGACTCCGCTCCATCCTACATAACCCCTCCTCTTCAACAAGCCCCGGCCTCGTGCCATATGCACGCCGGCAATTACAGAGACAGTGTGCTTCACTGATGTCAAACTGTCATCTTTCCTTTTCTCTTCCCTTACTTCCTTCCTTTGCCTTCCTCTCTCTCTTCCTGGCCCTGGTAGGCTTGCTCATGCCCTAATTACACTCAGCAATCCCCCCTCCTCCCTCCTCTCTTTCTGCTCCTGCCAGCCACTGTGCACCCAAAGTGGTGACAGCACAGTGGCATCCTGGGAGAACCGGAGAGCTGTAGGTGTAAAAGAGAGGGGCGCTGGAGCAGCCTATCAGCGGGAGGATCGTCTGGAAGCAGCGGAGAGGATTGGTCTGGTGCTGTGATGAAGCAGAGGGGAGAGGACACACACACAAACACACACACTCACATACACATTTGTGTGTGTGTTTGGACATGAAAGTAATTTCAGGAGAATAAAACATGCTGTAACCCTCATGCCAGAGGGTGATCAGCGACACCCTTCTGAGGACTGGTGCAAGCTCTCCGTTGATAAAGAAAAATCTCACTGAGGAGCCGAATCAAAACGAACACGCTGCGCTCTTCAACGGACGACTTGAAAAGGCCAACATTTATCCTTTTTATGATTACAGGAAATCCCATTCAAAATTCAAAAATTGGACCTAACCGATGTCCTCCCAATGTGTTCAAGTGTGTGCACGCTTCACACATGGGTATTTGTGTGAGAATGTGTGTGAATGTGTGTGCGCGTACTTATAATGAAATGCAGGGGCTTGACTGTGCCGGAGACCTTTGATCCTTTAATATGAGAGAATAATTAAAGGAGCAACAATCCCACAACACAGCTTCAGGAATACAGAACAGATACTCCATCACGCACAGCAGCTGCACACTGTGCATACTGAATACACTTGGGCACTTAACGCAACTATTGCACAGAAACACAGGCAGATAATAATATTCCATTACAATGAAAATGCTAATTTCTTGCTTACATTTAACTACAGATCACCTGTGAAGGATTTATGTGCACGCTGCAGATACTGTTTTTTAAATAAACCTCCTTGTTCCTGTAATGACACGCTGACTAGCCCTCAGTCAGAGTCTGTTGAGCCTTGCGGTGATGATGGGAGGCTGAGTATGCTTGGTGGAAGGCCTCAGTTCTTCTAAAGCCAATCACAGCAGGCCGATGGCTAACTGGTCACTATTCTGACTGGGCACAGCATGCTGTGGTCACTGTGTCTTGGCTGAGCATAGCATGACACAGCTTCAGCCTTGATGGCAGCTGCTGAAGCAGCACTACGAGTAAGATGGTGAGTTTTTTCTCTCTTTCTTAGGGGAAGACTTTCTAAAACAGTATTCTTTATTTTTGATGCACTTGATGGGTGAGGTTGAGCAACATGAAGACAGATGAACAGATGATAGGTGAGTCACTGATCCCAATAAAAACAAAGGCATACAGTTTCACACAGGCTTATGCTGCGTTCCAGTTGTACTCTAAAGTCGTGATTCCCAGGATCAAAGTCAGAAACTCAGCTGGAACGCCCCCTTGAAGTCGGATTTCCGACTCAGAAAGTCGGACGATCCTCGCCAACCCGACTTGACACCAACGTCATAATTCAAGATGGCAGTGCAGTGCATCGACAGTAAAGAGTAACAGTGAAAGCTCTTGTAATGTATCATTTATTAGCACTTCTGTTCTGTTTTTGTGAAATTGAATAAGTGGTTTATGTTGTGCTGCCCAACGTCTACCTGTGAACTCAGTGATATGGTGTTTGTAGAGTAAAATACTATGTTGTGCATTGTTTACAACTGGTATCGCTAACAACAACTAACAACAACTGACAACGGCTAACGACAGCTGACAATTGTAAACAACAGCTAACAACAGGTTTTCCGACTTGTTAACTGGAACGCCGTCAACTCGAGTGTAGCGTCATTCCCAGCTCCAACATCTGACTTCCAAGGTAACTAAAACGCAGCATTACATACAAACTGGCTGAGTGAGTAGTCTTGGTGTCACACTTTGGTCATTTTGATAAATACTCTGATTAATCAATAACTCTTTTACATGCTTTCATTCAAGGGTAGTAAAATTAAACCCTGACACCTGCAGCAACAGACCTGAAAATTGTACTTTCAAAGACACGAGTTCAGCTAGCTCCTCTCGAATTGTTGTTGAAAGAGCTGATTTTAATCTCCCGCCCCTTCTTGATTTTGATTGGTCAGTGATGGACAGGTGATTTTGGCAGGCAGAGTACAGTTCCAAAACTTGGACTATTTTCAGCAGAAATTTGACCTTCATTGGAACTCTGGGAGAGAAGTTATCATTCAAGCTGTAACCTGGTCAATCTTGGCCCTCTTAATCTCAGTAAACTACAGTAAGGAGGCGCCACTGCAGGTAAATGTGGCAAATATTCAACCCTGTATGACTTTAGCAGGCCCCTCGTCAGAGGCTCATAAAAAGGCCATCACTGATAATATTACATATTTAAATGTACTTGGATATCTGATATTACTTCAAAGTTTACTTCTGAAAATCTGACAGGACAAACTGAAAGTGCTGTGAGCACAGAAACAAAAGGATACAAGGTTACGGATGCGAGAAAAAAAAATTCAGCGGACTCTCCTTACATAACTACGTAAGCTCACAAATCTGTAATTCATTTTAACCTCACTATGTCCCTAATGCTTTAGAGAAATGTGCAGACCTGAAGCAGTAGGTTTTAGTTGAATTTACACTGTGGTGAATACCTTAAACAGGTTTACATGGGGAACATGGACTGATGGTTTTTGATACAGGGTAATAGCATAACTAAGAGCAAGCTCTTTGAATGTAGTTCTCCGAATGTAAAGCACATAGAGATAAGGATGACTACCCTGAAAACATGATACATAATAGACTATCCTGTTAGCCTGATCTAGCATGGTACCTCACCACACGTTGTTGTTTGACACTGGGCCTTGCTCCCCAATCTCTTCACCCATCCCTTACTGTTCTGTCAAGTCATTATCTGAGGATATCTTCAGTCTTAAAACCAAGTTTTAGTCAAATCTAGTCTGACTAATGATGAATATGTTTGTTAATTAATTGATCTGGTGCTAAGTGATAAAAAAAGAGAGAGAAGTATGTTTGGTGAGTGAAAAGAGCTAGCTTTCATGAGAAAACGGACCTGTGCTGTTAGGAATGATTGGAGGGAAAGTATGAGGGAAGTTTGCGGAAAAAACAACACAGGGACAGTTCAGAGAAAAAGAACATTTCCTTAAAGTCTCAAAATCTTCCGAGTCCCCCTGCTCCTCAGGCTTTCCAATCGTTAGAGGAGGAAATGAAAGGAATCCTACAAATGTTGGGCTTTACTCATTTGTTGGTCAATCAGAGTCGAAAAAAGAAACTTCATCTACTCGATACTGAACATTTACCAAAGACTTTACATGATTCAAACCTTTTTGTTCCCTGTTTCCTCTCCTACTTAATCTCTCTCTCTGTGAAGATGCAAAACAGAGCAGAATCAGGACAACCCTCCCCATGATATCCCCTCTTTTCCTGTTCACCCCCCTCCACGCCCACACAAAGCCATGCTGAGTCCAGAGCCCGAACTCCAATGTTGTGTCTAACCTGGTGCTTACTCCCCTCAACGCGCACAAACAACGACTTCACCCCCCACCTCTGACCATCTGGGGCCCCCTACCTCCTCATCCCGCCTGCCCAGCTGGCTGAAAATCCCCTTACCACCCCCCAATCCAACCTCACACCCTTGAGACCTTGCAGACGCCATCTCTTTTGAATCATCGTTGCCGTCAAACTTTGGCCAAAGATGGTAATCAACCTTTCCTCACTCAAAGGAAAGAAGGACTTGAAGGGGAACAAGTTGTTGCTCTTATCTCTCTTTCCTGTTTGGTATGCCAACGTGAGAGTGTGTGTGCTTCTGTCAAGGTCAGCAGGAAGTGGATCTCTTCTGTACACCAGATCATATGCTGTCTTTTCAATAACTCCCAATCTCCATATGCCTATTGAACATGAACTTTAGAGCTTTTTTCTGCCCTTTTCTGTCTCTATCCGCATAAGTCTGTGCTTTTTTATATGCAAGTTCAATTGGTATGCAAAAGGACCTGAGCAGCTTACCACCTTGCGGAATAATTTCCTCGGGGATGCACTTTCCTTTCGCTAAAGGAAGTCAAAGCTTCTCCTTTTTCTTTATTGTCATTTTTGGTCATATTTCTGGGCATTTATGCCTTTATTCAGAGAGGATAGGACAGCAGGAAGAGGAGGAAACTGGGAGAGAGAGTGGGGGATACAGACCTCTGCACACGGGGCACAGCACTATACCACTAAGCCAAACTGCCGATCCTTCTTTATTGTCATTTATAGCAACAATCACTGCGGTTGTTTGTGTTTAGCTTTGATAGAGCGATTAGTTGCACCTTTCTTGCCTTGACAGCATCATTGAGTGACCAGTGCGTTTAAACTGCATGGATCAGCAGACCGACTCATACATCCACATCACTTACAGACAGATAAAACCCTCAGATATACACACAAGAACACACACCTGCTGCTGCTTCAAGCTCTAAAAGGCCTTTCAGCCTCAGGTTAAGACAGACCCTATTTTCTGCCTGTTATGGTAAAGGTTCTCCTATGTCCATTCTGTGGGACTCAGCAGCACAACAGGATGTATAGCTCCAGTCGCCAAGAGCTGAGGAAATTGCACGATTCAGGCCCACAGGACCCATCAGTATGGAAACCAATCCATCGGAACCATTTTGATACGGCTGCAGGTCTGCAGAAACCATCATCCCCCATTGTGGCAGAGCTCTGTCATGCATAAGCAGCGCTCTCCATGTGAGGTCTAGTCTGATCCTAAAATAAGCTTTCCAGTGACTTTTCCATGGGAGGTATGAAATTACCACAATATAACTGGACAAGAGTTGCAGCCTTGCAGTCCATGGCCCGTTTATATTTTCGCTGTTGGACCAAAGATATTCCAAGCCGAAATGTTGCCTCTGAATGACCACCAGCATGGCGGCAGCTAGAAATGTTACCTGACATGACCCTCACCTTGTCTGCATTGAGGTGGCCACACTTCAAAGAGGAGTGGTGGGGGGAAAAAGGAGTATGCAGGAGAATTTTCGCTCTGGAGCGGAGAAAAGTGACGAGAAAAAGTGTTCGGGAAAAAGAGAGGTGCAAGAGCGAGAACGGAGCCCACGTACAGCAAAGGGGTGTGCGAGGGGGTAAATAAGGTCAGACGTGCCGTTGCCAGGACAACAACCAATCCAAAGCTGGGATTGGAGCCAAGTCAACACCCCACCCATCCATCCTTCGCTCCATCCGTCTTTTTTTTCCCCTTGCATCCCACTGTCGGACAGCCTAAACCTCAGAGTAATGAGTGCTCTGCATGTTTCTGCAGTCTAAATGGAGCTGCAGTGTAAATACAGGCCTCATCTGTACAGGTGCCAGGCTCTTATACATAGACCTGAATAAAGCGACAGTACATCGACGCCTAGACATCAACAGGACGGATGAAGGCGGCAGAGGAGAGAGACAGTGACAGCCAAGATGGGTGGACGCAGAAAAAAACAGCATGACTCAAACTATTGATGAAATCTATCAAAGTGCATCGCTACAAAGTGGCAGCTGAGCCGGTCCACTGTGTCAACATCATTTGTCTCATGTTTATGTACTAACTTTGTCATTGGGGCCCTTAAGCTTTGCACACAGCGTCAGAGCAGATAAGTCCAGATAAACAGAGGGTGTGGACAAATTAATGTCAACTTTTGAAGTAAACACTACTTACACAAAGACTGGTCTTGTTGGGCTCATGCCAACGGGACAGATGGTGTACGGTTGAGCTGGAGCGGGACAGTTTTTACCAACTACTGGTTTGACCGAAGTATAAAATATAGTGTCTTAGTAAAAGCTGGATATCTATCTGCTTGTTCTGTAACACTGATGTCATCCTGAAGTTGTTTTCTTGAGGCTTAAAAAAAATTGGATTGGGTACAAAAAATATATCAATGGATAATTATTTAACGTTTCAATGAAAAAATACATAATACATGGTGAAAATTGAAACTTTTCTTTTTAAATTATTTCACCACAAACTAGAAATTTTGTCGCCGTTTTTTACACGACCTAACCATGAATTCGAGGACATATTAATTCTTATAAAAGATTACGGTGAATTGCGACCTTTCAGATTTATACTAAATGACGGAACAGCTTTCCTGTAATTGTCTACATGTTTGTATATTGATTATTTGAGTTTGTATTTCACATTAAAAGCACAAAGACTGTTTTATTTTTTATGAAGCTACCAAGTAAATCAATTCAACCTCTCTGGAGCTTTCGTTTGTGCTCGGTTTGCCACACTTCTATTATAGAAAATAAACACTTGAATAAAACCAAACAAAACTTTTTCATCGCAGCAACTCATCCACAAAGTGTATGATGGTATGTACTTTACATGAGGTACAGAGCATTATTAAACAATATACACTTTCCTAAATTTCTCTAAAAACAGGCACTTAGTACAGGGTTCTTACACAGTTGGAATTTCCATACTTTTCCATACCCTACTTTTTAAAATTATTTTCAAAAATACCTACTTTTCTTTTTTAGAAAACAGTATTTTAGAATTGTGGTAAAAGTCTGGAAACATAAATATTTTCCACACTTTATTTTTCATTTTCCATACTTTTTAAGACCTAGAAATCGATCAAATTTATTTCTATACTTTCCATACTTGCGTAGGAACCCTGTTTGTGACCCGTATGGCTCGTGTTGTATCAACCTGTCTATCCCAGGACCCCACCTGTGTAAGTGGGTTAAGGTGTACAAGTGAGCAATAGCCCTTAAAACACACACCGCACAGTCATTTACTGAGATCCACTCCTCGGTGTGGTGAAAAGGGCACTCGCAAAGCAAATACACGTAGCCAATAAATCAGCCTTGGCTTTGAGAATCCATCATGTACTAAGTGGGTCACACTTCTGATGCTGTAGACACTCTCCTTCTCACACTCACACTCCGGTTTTGTCTGTCTCACTCTGATGTGAAGGTCAGTGCTGGATAGGCAACATGAACTATTTATCCCAGGTGTGCATTCCCCCCCATGCACCTGTTTATTAGGCGGTTTGTAGAGAAATAGCCACACACTCACACAGACACACACTCTTTAGACATGTCAAGGAAACCTGCTCCAATACAGGCAACAGGCCTGAATTATTTAAAGAGAGTGAAGGAGAGGAAAGGAGAAGATGGAGGGAGAAAGATTGGGGAGGCACAAGAGGTAAGGAGTAAATAGAGTCCACTGGCCCCCCTTTCAGTCCCTCTGACTCCTGGTGAACTTATTTTAAAAACTTCTACACTCCGTTTCAGCTCCCATCTGCTTTCTTTCAGCCCATCTTCACCACTCTCATTTCCTCCCCCCTGTCAGCGTGCCTACACCTTCTCGTCCTCTTCTCTAGCACCACCATTTCACCCACTTCTCCCTCCCCTCCTTCCCCCTCGCTCCGTCTTCCTCTCTGTTTATCTAAGCACTTTCACGGTCACTGCTTTGGAATCCCAGGAGTCTAAACTGGCCCCTCTCTCTCTCTCTCTCTCTCTCTCTCCCTCTCACTCTCCCTCACTCTCTCTCACAGGCGATCCATGCCTCCCTCTCCTCCATCTCCATCTTTCTCCGTCACAACCGTTAAGATTCATATCGCTCGGTGCGTCGGGGGGTAAGGAAGGTCCCCTTTCTTTCCCCTCCAGGCAGCCAGCTTTGTCCTGCTCTAGTCACGCACAGCCACCCGGCCACCCCGCCCTGCCCTCTCACACACACAGACACACACACATTCACCCAAGAAGCATCACACTAATAACCATCGCCTCAAATTAAATTCCAGACATTTTTTGTTTTTAAACTTTTCTTTTTGGCTCCGAGCCTGCTGAATATATGTTCTTTTAAACCTGACTCCGTTTTATGAGTTTTCTTTACAGTGTGTGAAATCAAATTCATGCTTTAAACATTTAAGTAGATACCGTTCTCCGTCTCAAGGCCGGATGCCCGAGTTTCTTAGAAACGACCAGTTAAGTTCCACAACACCGATGAAGGGTTCAGACACAATAAGAGGGGAAAAGCAGGAGGTTGGAGGGGGGGTAGGAGCAAAGAGGAAGGAAGTGGCGAGGGTCAGGAGTAGTGGTGCAGACGGCGGTCTCACACAGGGGATAACAACAGCCTGACACTGGACCTGGATTAACTGATTAATTTAGGATTAAAAATGACTAGGCGCTACTTTAACTAATGAACCACTGTGACCTAAAATTACAAGATTAACACGCACAAGGTAGGTACAGTGTTTAATCCTGAAGTAGAATAAGTTCCAGTGTAAATTATAAAGCCACTTGTTTAGGCCGTCTTTTGATTAAGAACAACAGAGCAACAAACATCCATCAGGGAACCTCCTTTAATGATAAAAAAGCAGCCAGTAAGGGATTTTCTGACTTTCATGACTCGGCGTTTGTCACAGTATATTTTAAAGAGAGTGCATAGATTAATTCGACAATCATAAACACGGAGCGTCTGCTGCACTGTTTTGGGAAGCGCACTGCGTACAAGAACTCCATTTTCAGCTGAATAAGAGAGCAATGAGATTCATGAGTTCTGCTGCTACAAGGCCACAGCTATGGAGATTTGGGACGAGCCTATTTCCACCCCCTCCTCTTTCATTCAGTGCAAAAACACCAGCACTGCTCTGGATGCTCTCTGACTGAGAATTATAACCATCTGATCAGTTCTGATGAATATAGCAAAACACACTTTTGGACAGTGACAGGGGACAATTCATTTAAAAAATGACCGTTCCTGTTAAAATATACAGTTTGTAACTTTTCAATCAAATGCCAAAGACACGATTTAATCAGTTTAACCTGGAGGAAGTGTAGCTTTATTGTTTGTATAGTGTTTATCTCCCTGCTTTGCATACTAATGTGTCTGGGAAGCAAGTGTATACCCCTACAAGCTATCTTAGCAGCCTATAAAAAACAATGAAGCATCCCGAACACTGATACATCCAGAGGAGATTGAACAGATACTACTCAGCTCACCGCACAACTGCAGGATGTGATCACAGGGTTGATACAAAAAAAAAAAAAAGTCCACATTCCTTGTGCTCCATATGAAAGATTTGATTGGAACAAAATAATGAAAAAAGTCTAAAAGTAGAAAAAAAAGAACAAGGAAGCAGAGAGAAGAAATCAGAGTCAGAGTATCAGGAGACAGAGATCAAGCTGTGCATTACTGCATTACACAGCCGAAAATCATGTGGTACTGGTTAAAGCAACAGAAATAACACACACACACACACACACACACACACACACACACACACACACACACACACACACACACACACACACACACACAAATATATATCTCATCATCTCTCTGTAAGACTCAAACTTCTGGTCGCTGGTATGTTTGAATAAGAATTTGACACCAAATTCCATTCATATTTTTCATATTTCCCCCTTTTTTTTTTACAAAGGTTTAAGGTGCTCTGCCATGATTTCACAACCTCACTGTTACACACAAACACACAAAAAAAATCACACAACATCATCTTAATACCTGAAAAATCTGGATGCATGCATGTTTGATTAAGCATGAAACGCTCCAACACCCCATCTGCAGTTTTTATCATCTAATTATGCTCTATTGTGATGCTATCACTAAAACATGAATAACCCTACGCTTTATACTCCATCAACACAGAACCTGACGCAGACACACAGAAGCTATATGTAGGTCATCGTCCTCATCTACATCTAAGCAAAGACATAATTAAAATTAAATTGAAATTTTATTTTTGCTCAGGTTTAAGTATCCAACTGTGATTTAAATGCATTAGTAAGGGGTGGGACTCTCAGGTATAATACAATAAGAAATAAATTGCCCTTGTTATCATTTATATACCAGGCAATGACTGCTTAACCACAATGACATAATCAGGATGTCCAAATGAAACATAAAAAAAAACTGTCTCTCAAAGATAAAGTGAAGGATTGATGTCATCAGGGCCACCAGAAGGCATCATGAAGTAGAGATGTGGAGGAAAATCTGTTAAGGGTGCTGCTTTCATTTATACATTAAAATATTGACGAGTCAGGATAATGATATTTTAAACTGTTGTCCCATCCCTGACTGTGTACAGTCTGCTCAGTCGTCACAGGAAATTAACACTCAAAGTCTATCTCCTCATCTTACTGTGAGACTCAACTGTCTGCGCGCAGGTGTGTTTGGATAAGGACACCGAATTCCTTTCATATTTCATTTATATTTATTATCTGCAATATGCATAACCTCACGAGTGTGCTTGGTCAGCTCACAGACTGACACGCGAACTAGAAAGAGGTGTCTGTCAGTTATAAATGTGGTGTGATTCCTACTGGGGCTCTCCCCAGAGTCTGAGCCAAAGTGCGCATGTGTGTCTGAGTGTGTGTGTGTGTGCACAGGCAGGGCATTAGTGCTGTTGGTAGTGTGTGTGTGTGTGTGTGTGTGCGCATCACCTGTATAGCATCATACTGTGTGTGTGTGTGTGTGTGTAAAGTGGGAGGAGCAAAGAGAGAGGGAGAGAGAAAGAGACTGATGGAGGGAGGGTGGTGGTGGTGGTGGGGTACTCCTTAAGCCTGCTCGTGACAGTGATAGTAATACCTGCTGACATCCTTTCTTCCCTCTCTCCCTCTCCCTCTCTCTCTCTCACCTCATCCCTCCATCCCTGGGGGGCTTCCTGGGCTGTTTTGGGAGTTGAAATCTGTTGACTCTTTCCCCACCACCACCATCCTCTCCTTAACGCGTTCTCCATCCCTTGCTCTCTCCACTGCAGGTCTAATGTTTTTACAGTCTCTGGGGGGCTGACGGGAAGAAGGGAAGCTCAGAGGGAATATTCATATATGGTGATGGTGTGCATGTGTGTGTTTGAGTGAGTGTGTGTGAGTGTGTGTGTGGCATGCCAGCCTAAAATGAAACAGAAAGAGGAATGTGTGTGTTTCACATCAGTGGGGGGGCTGGAAAGTAGGCTGTGCTGCCATACTCATGAGGCAATGCCAAAAAAATATTAGTTTTTGTTCCACTGTGGAAAAGACACCCCCCATCCACCCACCCACTCCCATAAAAAAAAAAAAAAAACATACAGCATATGCAAAAACTTAATACAACATCTGTCATGTACAAAATAAAAGATAAACATTGTTTTTGGGATATTGGTGGGAAAAAGAGTTGGCTGGAGTTCTTCATTTCACTATAATTAAAGGTTCTTCTGATGAGTTAAAACATTGATTAAAAGGTGACGTACTTCAGGGTAAACACACCACAATAACACAAACAGACACACGCCAATTTAATCATTTCTACCTGTTTTTTTAACCTGCATGACGCGTAATGAAGCTGTGTGTTTCCAGCAGATTTACTAATTAAAAAGTCACACTTTCATTTTCTGTACACAAAACTTGTCAATACATGTGATTGAATTTAGCCTCATGAGCTAGCTGCCTATTGGTCAACGATGGCTGACTGTTTTGTCTAAACAAAATAATACAAGTTTTTTAACATGGTGACCTCAGGAATTTCATCACAAGACAAAAAAGTCAGATGAAGACATTATCAGTAAAAAAAAACAACAACTTTAATGTAGATCACCCCTTATGAGCCAGGTTAAGATTCTCAGAGTCACACAGTCGATGGTCATAACAAAGCCGGATAAAATTTTGTATTAAAAAAAAACAAAAAAAAAAACACAGATTGTCAATCGTCAAATTAAGCAAGAAGTTACTGCTTAATCCAAAAAGTACACAAAAACTTTGACAAACTGAGATTTCCACACATGAGCTGTAATGAAAACATATGTCACTCACATGACCACCTCTGAGAGCACTTCAACTTAAATTTAGCAACCAGTTTGACTAACTGGTTTGACTGGCAGAATAACTTTTGAACTCAAAACTAACAACCAACCATTGTCAAATTCTTTAAGCGCCTGCAGAGTTTTTACTTCTCTGCTGACAACAAGACTAATGCCACAGCAGGAAAGCATCACACACTCTCTATAAGTTCATATCAACTCAAGGTTTGTTGAAGAAAGTAGACTTTTACATCCCAGATCGAGCATTTTGCAGAGATTCTTGAAGCTAAATCCGGGTTTGCAGCACCGCTTTTACCGTAGGACTTTATCCGTGCCATCACAGAGACATTAAAAAGCACTTTTGGAGTGACTGTCCATGAGTGTCTTTGCAGACTATGGGGTAAGATGGCAAACATGTCTCTGTCCTCCTGACAGCCAGGGTTTTGTATGGTACAATAATCCAGGTTTCTGCTCCAGCCTTTTGCTCCGGCTGGGTCAATACTAATTCAATTTCTGTCTCAGGGAATTCCCAGGTTGCCTCTTGGCAGGATTTCTGAGCTGAGTGGAAGAGCATTATGTGAGGTTATGTGTACTTGAGAGAGTGTGTCTGCCTGTTTTTTCCTTTTGTGCGTTTGTGTGTGTGTGTGAAACTCTTCTGGCAGTTTGCGTTGTTTTGATTGAGCTTAAATTAGCGCCGTTTCCCACAATTGCAAGTTTACATATTCTCACGCCACAATTTAATAGCCGTTTTGTATGTCAAAGCAATACACAGTCGGCCTGACACTTCCAACAATGCCAGCTCATTGTGTGCCATGAATGGATGAATGAAAGTACCCCGGCTCCGAGCCCTTAACCACCATAACCGCCCTCTTCACACGCATACCACACTGCGGCCATTTTGTGCCAGAGCCAGGCCAGGCTGTGCCAACCGAGCGGCAGACGACACGACATTGAACCTCATTTTATTCCACAGCTGTTCCACCTCACTCGCAGACATTCATACAATACAACTTATTACAGCTTAACGCGGCCTAATATTGATGTATGTGTGTACACAGAGAAGCAGAGCGGCGGCGGTGGGGAGAGAGAAATTGGGAAAGGGACAGGTCCATATGCAGTCTAGCGATAATGCAAGAAGCTGATGATAATATCTGGGTGTAAAATTGGTATCGATTGACTAAATATCCTGACCAGGGGGAGAGAGCGGCCGTCCTTTCATGCTTGTACACCGTGTCCGCTCCGAGCTGCACTGTGACTATCTGATCCATTTTAATACAGACATCCTGACTGCTGCTAGGCCTCCAACCAAAACTCATTTTCAGCAGCGTGCGTGGCTTTCCTTGTGTTTGTGCATCTCTCCTTTTAATAAAGAGGAGTTTTTGTGCTGCTTTAGTGTTATCTTGGTTAGGTTACAAAACGCAGGATGACTGACTGAATTGAAGGTGCAGAGTTAGAGTCTCTAACTCGCTACCTTCTTCTTCTTTTAAGCCTCTCTTGAAAAATGTAACCCCGAGAAAAGGTGAGGTTGCACAATATTCTATCAGCTCATTCCTTTTAAAAAGCCTCCAAAGACAACAACACGCCTTTTTCCCTCCAACACTTTAGTCACACCTAAAATCAACTTATGAGTGGAAACAAAACAATGACCTATTTAGGCAGGAGGCCAGCGCACAGCGGTTGGTTAATGTTCTCACAGCCGCTTTCACTCCACTGCTGACCAGAGCTGAGGTTTTCTTTTCTAAAGCTACTTTCACTACTACTCACTGTGAGCAGAAGAAAAACCTAGATGAGAAAAAAAGAGAAGAAAACAAAGGAAATTTGCAAAAACATGAATCATGAATCAAATCCTTGAGTGTTGTGCACCCTTATACATTTCTGGGTTTTGTTTTTTCCCATAACTGAAATTTATCACCCTCCCATCTTTTCTCAAGGAAACAAAGAGTTCCTTTCTACGCAAAGCAGCAGGTCACTTCCACTCACGCACAAAACACACGCACCTACGAGAGCCATTGTTCCACACGAATCAACTTCAACCCACAACAATGCCCTCGAACGGCAATTCACGAGCGCGCAAATCAGTAAAATCACTGCCCCGCTTTGTTTTCCGACAGTGACGAAGAAGCTCAAGTGTACACACAGTTAACTCAACCACAGTTTGCCCTCCAGATAATACACTCAATAGCACAAACAAACAGACAAAGCACATTTACAAAGACAGATAAGGTACACAACCAGCAAACAAAACACACACACACACACACCTCTGGATCTACACAGGAACACAGCGCCACAGCCAGTTAGACAATAGGCGTTGACACAGAAAAGGGAGAGAGACACTGACACTGTGATGACAGATGAGGAGAGAGAGAGAGAGAGAGAGAGAGAGAGAGAGAGAGAGAGAGAGAGATTGCTTTGTTAGCAGGACAGGGAATAAAGTGGTAATTACCTCACTGTGGGTTTGTTGATTATAGTTCAGCCAGGTTCTCCATGTTAATCATTTACCAGGGGAAGACAGAGATTAGTGGAGAGACAGACACACAGAGGAGAGATAGCAGACAGTGCGAGAAAAATATTCATTTGCATGCACACACACACACACACACACACACAACAGAGAAGGAAGAGCCATAGACGCGACGGCTGCTAGAGGAGAAATAATACAAAGATATAAAACAAGAAATCGGTCTGGAAGTGCAATCATCTCCCTGACAAGCCCTAATTACAAACACTGTCTGCTTTCACTTTACTGTACACTGCATGTGTGAGGAGGTGTGGCGTGCAGACCGTGATTTACCTTGGTATTTAAACGAGATCATTCATGAGTGCACACAGAGGGAAATGATGCATAAACAGAGCAGAGATTACACAGTAGACTTATGAGGGCTGCTTTCAATAAAGATACAGAAAAACCAACACAAATATTCATCTCCACATGCACCGTTCAAACATGCCCCACTGGCTTGGAGTTTGTGCCAGAAGAGGGAGAGATAGAGAGGAAGAGAGTGAGTCCAGAAGGGTCTGAACTGGTCTGAGTGTTTGTTTTAAATTCGGTTTAAGAGTGTGTCCAAACTTGCAGGAAGCGCACAAGTATGAGCACGAGAGGACACAGGTAAGAGGAGTCGGTTGGAATACTCCTGTTCATGCATAATCTCTCCATGCAAATTCTTGAATCTGTTATTAACACCCAGCTAATCCACTGTTCTGCTGGAAAAGAAAAACAAAAAACAAGAGGAGTCAGGAAACAGGAGTCTAAATTTTGATCCAGATCCAGAGGAACTGCTGCAACAAGTCTGCCTCCTGCCATGTCGGATAAGAGAGGAGTGCAGTATGAGAGGTGTGAGCCAAGAACAAGGGTAAGTCAGGGGACAGGGAAATGGAGTAGCTTATTTAAGGTGCAGCTTTGGGTGACATTTATTCTTGTTAGAAGAGTGTGAGCAGCCCTTATATAGACTGTAAAACCCTCCTTCAAGTCATCTCTTGTGGAAGAAAAAAAAAAGAAAGAAAGGTAATTCAATCCGTGAAGTTTTGGAGCTCTGAGTAAACTTTCTGACACCTCCAGAGTGAATTTATGAGGATGAATGAAGCACAAGGAGCAGACACTGTTGGATCAGCAAATATGGCTAGTCAACTGACTTGGTCCAACAGGTTTTAAAGCACACCATGGTACAAAGAGGGGGCTTAATACACCTATAAACTAGTCTGAGCTCGCTACTCAAGGGAGCGCTGAGGTCTAGTGTCAGCACACACACAAAAACACATACTCAAGTTTAAAGCCCTCTGGTTATAATATTTTACTAACCTTTAACTGCTCCAGGAAGTAAAAAATAATTTCTCTTCTAATAAGGAGCTATCGCTCTGAGAGAAACGCTGTAATAAAAGCGAGAACGATCGTAAACTCTGTTCATAAAATCATAAAAGAGGGCAATCGAACCACTTGAGCCCCACAAAAGAGAAAGAGACCTGCGTATTTGAGTCTGCCATGTTCGACGCTGACCCTGCAGTCAGTCTATCACTTTCATTTCAAAGCTCCATTTTTCAATCTGGAGGGTGCTAAATGTGTGCCAGTTAAAGTGTGAGCCTTTGTTACAGTCGTATAAGCTGGCGAAGAACAGAGCAACAAGGCCCTTCAGTCTCCACTTCACTGCCCCCGCTTCATTAAAACCATAAATCTAGATGTCAAAAGAAAGGTGATGGCAAGAGAATGTCTTCAGTCTTTGTATTAAGAGGAGACGCTTTTCTCACCGGCTAGACCCGTGTTACATACGGGCACAACCTTTAATTTAACAAATGGGACTTTAGCTAGAGCTCCTCTGTCTCCTCAGCTGGTCCACAGTTTTTATGGATAATGTAGCCGTGACAACAGTGAGGTCTTAAATATACATAACATTAACAAGGAAACAACAGAAATTAGTAGAAGTACATCCAACCGAAAAAGATGTCCTGCCAACGACAGTTAAAGTGGGTAAAAAACAAACAAATAAATCTGTAATCTGTATCTGCTTGTATCCTGGGCACTTGTGAGTGGCTAGTTAACAGCTGCAGTGACTCACAAATTTCAAGTTGTACTAAAAGTCAAAATTTCACTCTCCATTGTTAGTCCTGTTTAAGTCTCCAAAAACTCTCTTTCTCGCTGTGCTCAGTGCTTCACTCGTTCATACTCTCTCTTTTTGTGATTCTGTGTAGACCAGGTAGCTAACTGTGGCTTTTTCACAGCACATTTTACCACAAACAAGGCATAAAAACAATTCAACTGGATAAAACAGTTCACCCAGCCAGCTGTCGAACCAAAACAATTGTCTGAAAGACGCTAAAATGCTCCATATAGCTTTAGGAACCAAATCCGTCTCATCCTCTGACTCCACTTCGATGTAAAAGCTGTATGAAACATTGTTTGTATCAGATTTATCCTCAAACTGCTTAAAAAAGGAGTCCTGAGCTTTCAGTGAGTTGAACAACATTTTAGACAATTAAACCTATGCCAAATTTTTTTTTTAGAGATATAAAGTGCCTTCTGGACCGTTTGCATCAAGCAGATTCTGGGACACTCAAGTGCATTACCAAGCCAACAGAAGTCTTCCTCTCCCCTCCTTGAGCTCCTCTTCCCTCCCCAGGCTACGTTTACAGGCCTCAAGACAACCTGGCTGGCTGGCAGCTAATAGAAAATATGGTATGGGAAAATGACTGAAGCTCAACTAATCACACCGCCAATATCCATCACCGGGCAGGAGGGAGCTGTGAGAGATAAAAGGACCAAGGAGGTGGGCGAGTGTGGAGGGGAAAAAAATGAAAAGGAGAGTGGGATGTAACAAGGGAGGTAATGAAGAGTAAGGATAGGAGAGGAGAGAGGAAAGGAGAGAGGAGAGAGGAGAAGGAAAGAGAGTCCTAGCTGTAAACCCGGGGGATTGTGGACCGGGTGCAACATCATGGCTCTGTTGATAGTTTTGTGATTGGGTGGTGTTGCTGATGAGAGTGATTCTCTGCCACAGTGGGTTACTACTGCGCCGTGATGCTGATGGCATTGTGATTGTGTGGTGTAGCAGCCGACTGTGTGGCCCTGCCACAGGCTGTGACCATTCATCCCTGAATCTCTCGGGGACAAGAAGGTGCTTCCTAATCCTCATGGCGTTCCTCCACAACACATTTCTGTTGGATCCCAATTACAAGACGGGGTTTTTTACCCGGCTGGGCACACAGAGCATAACCGCCACAGACTTGAGCACAGGATGAGTCCTGCAGACAAGACCCAGGAGTCTCCAGGGAAATTATTCCACCCAGGGGTCACATTTTCACCACAATTTGTGCATCCAGAAATGTAAAACACACAAAAATCTGTGATTTAAGAGGTGGCCTCTGTGGCCAACAGCTATAACGACAGAGGGTCATCCATCTTAAAGAGCGTTCAGGGAGTCAGGGCTCCGAGTAGAGTGAGAGTCTCTAAATAAGTAGGTGAGGGGACGGTGGATGTGTTATTTTGGGCAGTGGCCCTACTAGCCCTGCAGGTCCTGAACCTAAACCCTTCAATTAGGCAGACTGGAACACCTGGATCAGCAGGTGAGCCTGACTCCGACTCACTAATGGCCCCTATCAACCCATTATGCGCACACAAACACTCACACCATCCCATTACCCAACTACATATTAGCTTATATCCAGCAGCACTTTAGCCTTTAATATGCACCTGTGTGCTCAGAATACTATCTAGGACACTACTCAGAGAAGAAACCATCACTTCTGACACTCTATAAGTAGCATTATCAGCTGTGGACGGGTGAAAGCCAGGGTTGGTCATAATGATGAAGATAACTACCTGCACAGGAGGGTGACATCAGGCTCCTCTGTCCTAAATGAATCACTGTATCCCCACAGTTCAGGCTTAGGCCCTCTAAATTAACATTAAAAACCTGTCTCATAGCTCAAGGGTTAGTTCAGGTTTGAGATTATCATACCTGCCCTGCACCCCCCTTCAATTAAGTGCACGAGGACGTGATCTGCAGCATAGCAGAGATTCTTCAAGCAGACTAAAGCCTGACTCATTTAGGAGGAATTATTGTGCAACAGTAAGGCACTGCAAGTTCAGACCGGCTGTGTATGTTCTATGCAAAGTAAGTAGGAATGAACTGATTTTACCCTCTTAAATCAAGCCCCCCGTTTGAGTGTGAAGAAGCCCGGAGAGAAAAAAAATGTTATTTTGTGAGAAATGGAGCATCATTACGCGCATAGTTTCCTCACCTTGTGTTTGTTGAATTCCAATAAACGACGTGTCTCTTGGCCACAGCAGCTGAGATGATGTTACACAGGAAAATAGTTGCTTTCCAAGCAGGCACATTCACCGGGGTCCACATCCTGACCGCCGCAGGGGCCGCGGAGAGGGTTTACGCGCGGCTGAGAGTGGCGTGCAGATCAGGTGAGGAGACCCGACGGAGGAGAGGATCGCCGTGAACAACTTTTCCACCCTCACCAACTCATGGAACAAGTCAGATTTCTGCGTGATCTGCTGCTGCAAGTGTCACTGTCGCATGATGTCAGAAAGGTAAAGTCATAAAAGTCGTTCAGAAAGGGTTAAATCAGAGGCTGCGGGGAGGAAGGTGTGGACCTCCACAGCAGACAGTTCCTGGGTGTTTGTCCACAGCCCGCATGATGACTCTTTGAATCTTTTAAAGTGAAAAATACAAACCAAAAATAAAAAACACTGACTTAATCTGACTGCAGGGGTCACGGGTTCGAGTGTCGCCCACAGTTATGGGTCAGACTATCAATTGAAACTGCCAGCTGGTTTGGCAGCAACAGGCTGCGGGGTAGTGGAAGGGTGGATCCGCTGAGAAGAGGGCGGTGCCCGGGCAAACTTTGAGCCAATCAAGCACCAAGGGTGTGGTGACATATAGTACCGGAGTGCAAAGTTAAATCCTTGTGAGGTGCGCCGACTGGTGTGGGGAGACCGTCTGTCACTGTTCCAGTTTTCAGGGGGAGTCAGGGACCATCTGTCCTCTCCTCTCCCCTCTGGTATGACTGATCTGGAGCTGAGTAGTTAAATTAATATATAAATCCCAGCTCAAATAGACCTTGAGCTGCTTATTTAGGAGGTTTGCTCAAAGGTACTGCAGCAGTGAGGGGCTTTTTTAGCAGCTGGTTCAAGCAAACTTCTTACTTAATTCCCTGTTCATCCTCAATTTTGGCCTTTGAGCTTGTAGCCTAATTACTGTGTGTGGCAACGTGGTTTATAAATGTAGGCCAACCTGTGGGTAAATGATGTGTTCAGGTACACATCATGCAAGACTGTGAGAGACATGGAAACCACTCAACTCTTGTCACACACATTATGTGTTCATAAAATCCACATTGAGTTCTGCAACACTTTTTTATGGTGTGTGTGTGTGTGTGTGTGTGTGTGTGTGTGTGTGTGTGTGTGTGTGTGTGTGTGTGTGTGTGTGTGTGTGTGTGTTGATCAGTATTAATTCTCTGCCTGTTGTCAACCGCCCCCAGGGGAGGATGTAGTGACAGTAATCACTATGCCTCCATGGGCGAAAGCCACTGGTGGTCCTTTCTAATTATCTGATTCCCTAAGTGTGTGTATGTGTGTGTTTGTGTGTGTTTGTGTGCATGTAAAATCACTCTGCTATTGCCCCAGCACTATCACTCATGCACACAAAGTCACACCGATAGCCTGCTCGTACTGCACATTTGGCTATTCCCTTTCTGCAGGACCCCCCCTCTTTCTTGTACTTTCTGCGTCTTTAATCGAGTGTGTGTGTGGTTCATGGTCTACATGTGCGCGTGGCACTACCAGGACTCATTAGCTCACTTCCTGGAGGTCCTGATCATTAATTTCCCATGATGCCTCGATGCTCCTGTGTGGCTAATTTGTCCCCAGTGAGCTAGTTCTCCCTCTGCAGACATGGAGCAGAGCACGGAGGAGCAGCTCACTCTGCGGGGGTCTCCCCTCTCTCTCCCTCATTGTGATTGATCTGTAGCACCAGACAGTCCCTAATAAATTTTGTAAGTGCCAGCGGTTAATAATACTTTGAGAAAATTAATTCAATTCTTCATCTTTCCCTCTGAAAAAGGTCTCAAACTTTCAATTTGGAATTGTCTACAGAACATAACAGTTTAAGTATTCAGCGGCCCTGCAGCTAACTCTTCTGTCTGACACTATAAATTGACCAGTTTCCCCTCTTGACTCAGATTAGTCTGTGGAGAAAAGTGCTCTCATTTACCCCATGGGAGGACCATTTGAAATTTGCACTAAATTAAGAGCCATGTTGATTGCAAAGCTGATGTATTTTGCACGTACTCGTTGTAGGAAATAGAATTTTACAGCTTCTCCTTATCCGTCAACACGCCAACTCTTCCTCTTCTTCTCTTTTGTATTCACTGCACCTCTTGTGTGGCTGCTATCCATCATTATCAGCACTCTTTCCAAAATCTTTCCCTCTTTTTTTCTTTACTCTCTATCCATCATCCTTCCTAATCTTTCCTCTCATTGATCCGCTCATTACGGCTCAAATATGTTTTCCCCCCATCTCTTGGCGCCATTTATACCAGCAAACATTTCCTGTTACGCCACAAAGTCAACCTCTGTCCAGACTTCTCTTAGTCATCAAACACAAAGAATAGCAATTTAAAACTCCAACGCTCACTCAAACAAAACTCATGACTGTTTGGCGTTATCAAGTCAGATTTGATTGACAGGCGACAATCATGCAAAAAGCCTTTCAACTCTAGCACTACTTATTTTTTTAAATAAGCTGGTCCTTAAAGCTTATTTATTTAAACAAATATACTGTTTTTTTACAACAGATTATTAGGGCCACATTAAGAAAAAAAAATAAGACTTCAAAATTAAAGTCATTAACTTACCAGAATAAAGTTGTAATAAAATCATTACTCAAGAGAATAAAGTCATAATAAAATCAGTACTTATGAGATAAAGTCAGAATAAAGTCCTTATATTCTAACCTGCTGTTTAAGACGACAGTTGTTGGAAAGAGAGCCATGGAGCATTTTGTGAAAATGCACTTCAATATAGGTTTCTCAAGTAAGGAGATACTTCATCTTTTGGCACATCAGCACCAAATTATTATAGGTATCATAATGATTTTATTGCAACTTCATTCTTATTAGTAATGAATTTATTCTAGTAAGTTAATGACTTTAATCTCAAAGTTGTAATTTTTTTTTCTCTTAATGTGACCCTAATACTCCGTCTTAGATTTTGCATGAGTTGAACAAAAAGTTAGGATAAAATCTCAAACACAAAAAAATTATAGACTCCTTAAAGTTCTTGCAAATTGAGCAGAAAACCAGACCTCACTATCAAACTGTGGCTGGGGACTGATTTCCGTCCCCTAAGAGCAGTTCGAATGGTGCGAAAGATGATTCATGAAAATGTCACACCAATATCAATTTAGTCCAGATTTCTGTCACATGTTGAAAGTCAGAGATAATTCCTGCCATTTTGCTTTTGGTTTGAAAAGGAACATTTTTAATATTTAACATGCTTTCAAATCCATCTGTATTCAGGAATCAAGGCTAAGAGTCTAAGAAGTGCTCGGCTGTGTTATTTCCCCTCCATGTACAGTCCTTGTGTTGGTTTATAGTTGCCTTATTTGACAGGGACAGACTGTTTGAGTGGCAGCTAGCTTCCTGTACCTTAATGAGGAATGAGAAGAAACTTGAGCTGCACCATCATTTTTAAGCATGCAGGCGACTGGTGGCTCATCTGGTATCTCTCTTTACAAACAGCAGTAACATTTACACCAATCATTGACTAAATAACAGCTTTTTTTCTCCTTACATAAGGTTTTCATTCTAATGACTTTATTCCTGAAACACAATGACATTAATCTTGTAACAAAAGGGCGTATTCACTCATAACATAATGACTTAATGATTAGCATTAGAGCTGCTTGTGAGAAACTTTCGGTTAGAGTTGATATTGTTGGCAAAGTGGTTCCTCTCGTCTATAATCAAGTAGCGATAGAATGCAACACTCACTGTGACTATTTGCAGTGTAAAAAGTCAAAAAAGTGTTTTTTTTTCTGCCCGCTGTCAATCAGCTGGTCTGACATCCACGCCCCTTTAAAGTAAATTAAAGCATCAAAGATTACTACTGTGAGGTTATTTTTAAAACAGCATAAAGTCAATGCAAGCTTCCACACCGGCGGCGATTTTTCCACGGGGCGAAAAGCGTCTTTTATTTTTTCGCTCTTGTGTCGAATTTTTCGGAGATTTGCAGGCGAATATCTGGACCTGCTAGACCTCTGGCCAATCAAAAGTCATATTGTTGATGACGTCACAGACCCATGCGGCTGCAGTTCACACGACACACACCACCACTGGCACCAAGAGCAACGATGGGAGAGAGTGTGTACAACAGAGTGGTCGCCCAGTGTGTATAGGTGAAAGCGATTTTTCGGACCGGCGAATATTTTCGCATTTTCGTCTCGCTTTTTCGCTTCGCTCTGCAAATTCGCTGGTGTGTAAGGACCTTAAGACTTTTGAAGGACACAAAGAGGCATCAGTATCAATTTTAGTCTGTTTTTCATCCAGTGAAAAAAACTCCTCACAGTGCCTTTAATGTGTGTCTTTTGCTTGTTTCATTTGAATCATGAACACTGAACTGTAAGATACAAAAAAATCATACTGTAGATCGGCTTTTTTTTTCATTGTAATTATTTAATGAGGGCTCTTGTTTCCAGTCTTTGTATGATGTCATAAAAGTGTGTGCTACTCCTCATTTTTATATCACATTATGCCATCATCTCTTACTCACGGACTGCACCGCTAAAGTCACTGAGGTCCTGTGAGAACATTAGGATTGGGCTTTCGCAGCATGCAGTGGATGTCATGTTCACAGCCTCCCTATCCAACAAAGAAAAGTGAAAACAGCTAAGCCGTGTGACCGAGCCACTTTGGAAAAGTACTGGGTCGAAGCTCTGTAATATTTCTTGAAGGTTTCAGGAGAGCACATGTGAAAAGTACTTGTGTAATTTTTCATTTCCGGATTTCTTGTCGACATATAACATTGATTTAGTACTTGGAATTGAAATTCGTTTCTCAAACGTATTTTAAAACGTCTTTTCACTCTTCCTTTTGTAATTCATCCCTCCTTCTCCTCCTTTCTTTCTCTCCTCTCCTCAGCATCACTCCTTCCTCTCCTACCCTTTTGCAGTTGTGCGGTTGTGTTACTGGCCTCTAAATCCTGTTATCTCCACATGTACAGGCTGACACCAAGCCACTCACAGAATTGTAATCAACCACCATACACAACAAACAAACATGGCACACACACACACTCACACACAGCATGACACACTTCTTTCTCTGTATGACTCTGTAGTAAAAAAAGGCAAACACACGACCAGAACAGGACCGGCCTGATTCTTGTTTTCTTACCACTCCTGATATTTTTGGTGTCTCGTCGTTTTGATCGTCTGTATTCCTGCATGTTTCAGCACATCTTGTCCCGTCTATCACTCATCTTTGGAGAACTACTGCTTCTCGTAAGATTACTCTTCACCTGTCACTCCTCACTCCCTCTTTTCTCCAGATTTTCTTCTTCTTCTTCTTCTTCATCTTTTTGCTCTCTGTGTTTCTCTCTTAGGGCCCAGAAACTTAGAGATGTGTGTCTTTTATTTTTGCATAAAAATCAGTCAGGATTATTAAGTTTTTTTTTCTTTCTGTGATGGCTTCATAAATAAATGTACTCACTCCCTCACACAAACACTCACAAACACACCCCCTTGGCGACTTTCGCTTTCCTCTTTCTCATTTTCTACTTTCTGGAGCTGCTTATTTCCTTTCCTTTCTCCGTCCCGCCTACCACACCTATTAGCAGCAGTGCCAATTTGTAGGGGTCATCACTTTACTTGTGTGTTTTCTTCAGTCTCACCTTTTTCCTTTTGTAAAAAGCACATTGTGTGCGGCCCTTTTTTCCTCCCGTGTGCCTCTGCTCTTTTCCACCTCCTTTCTTTCTCACTGCGTCTCAGTTCTGTAATTACAGCTCTGGACTCAAGCAGTGATGGTAAATGCTTTTTCTATTCCCCTCTCTCCATCACTCCCCCGAATCTCCATCTTTCTCCTTTTCTTGCCAAGCAAATTACATCTCGGTTACTATAGAGACATGTTTATTGAATGCTTTTTACCGCACCTTCTTACCCCCACCTCCAAAGCCCCTTTTGCTTTCCTTCCTCTCCCTTTCCTCCTCCCCACCTGTTTTTCTCTGTGTTTGCTCTTTCTTGCGCTCTGGTGTATTGATGGTCATCTGTGTCTTTCTCCTGACTTCATTTTTTCTTTTTTGTTCAACTTCTGGAGTTGCCATTTGTAAAGAAAAGATGAGAATTGACCCTGTCGCATAGATTTTCAATGCAGCATTCTGGGCCATTGTTGTCGCCATGTACCTGAAAGCAGATAAAGCAACATGCTGTCTTGTAAGGCATGTGCTATCCATTACCATCGACTGTACAAGTGGCCCCCGTTGAATACAACACTCTGAGATGTGAGTCGTCTGATTGGGACTCTTTCTTCTCCTTGTCATTACAAAAACGCCGCCCAAACCACTCCCAGTCTTTCACTGTCTTCTTGAATCTTTTTCTTTGTTCACCTCTCTTCCAAAACCGCTGAAGCTAGTCCTCCGATGTTCCTCTTCTGTCTCAATTTTTTGTCTTTTCTAGTCTTGGGAATCAAACCTTAATGCTCCAAGTACGAATGACGTAAGTTATTCTTTGATTAGACTCTTACCTGCTGTGCGACGATGAAATCATGTCTGAGAGTGGTTGTAGTGGTCGCAAGTGATATAACAGTGGCGTGGATACAAAATAAGCATCTAGACCAAATGAGATTGTAGCAGCAAATATGGTCTTATTCTCCTAAAGGTGGGGTAGGCAGGATTCTGTTAAAGAAAAACATCATTTTTTTGTGGTGTATAAACAAAAAAGCATTTAATATCAGTCAGTAGCTATTAGTTATTGATGACATTTGGTAATAAAACAATATCGCTGTTTTTCTTTATGTCTGTGTAGTCAACATTTTAGAATTTTTGAGCGGCCCGCTCTTTCTAAATGTAAACAAAGCCGTTCTCCGCCTCCCCCAACCTGATTGGTTGTGAGGGAGATGCTGCGTCCTCGTGTTGTGAGGCACGCTCCACATCCTTGAATAATGTGCATGAGCCCAAACAAAGTTGGCGTGCTACAATGTCGGACTGTAGAAACTAACCAGAAAGTACGGAAAATTGTCTGAATCCTCCTTTAGCCACAACTGCCAACACAAGCGAGAAATTGAAGTAAATACCGGAGACTCTGATGGAATAACGGGCGCTTAAAAAGGAGGTAGACCACCCAGACAAGAGCTAAAAAGCTAGGTCAACATCAGTGAACGCTTCAGAATCTTACAGACCCTGTAACCTTTTTACTGGACAGGTAAACCGCTTTAACAAACTAAGTTAAGTGTCTGTAATAGAGCGGCGCTTCACAGTTTAGCTCGGGTCCTGGACTATGTCACTTTATCCTAGTTGTAGAAGTCCTGCAAACATTGTGTTTGCTGGTAGTCTGTTCACATCTACAGTAGCACCAATGCTTTTTACTTTCACGTTGACTGGGCCCCATTTGTAATTATCTAAAATATTTATCTGTATTATATCTCAATTTAATTTGAACGATCCGAGCGAGCAGGAGTGTCTGTTTGTGGGCAGGGCTTGCTGGAGCAGAGAGGGAGGGGAGAGGAGGAGCTGAGGGGAAAACTGTTTGGGAGGGGGAGTGTTTACATTCAAGATTTCTCCTAAGAACTGTCACTTCCTCAGATCCTGCCTACCCCACCTTTAACTCGTATTTGAAAGAAAAGAAAAAAAGAGTTTTGTGGTTGTAACTTTGATTGTTTAGCTTAAAATACAAAAATTAAACAAAGTTAGCACAGTAAAATAGAGAGCTGCTGTTTACAAAAGAAAAACTAATATATAGGCTTCTGCACCATCATCCAGTTTTGTCAGATCACTATTTACAATGTCAAGAAAATAGTTCCTCAGTACTGTTAAATAAACATCAGATTATCCAGAGTATGCTCAGAAAGATCTGTTTCTGAGCTCGTGAATGTAGGACATTTCAAAGATGAAAAGTTTTCATTGGACAGCAACATTTCAAAAATGACACCGAGCTGCTGTCTCATGGGTACTTGGCAGGAAAAGTTTACGATTGCAAAGGAATAAATCTTGTAATAAGAAACTTTAAGTTCATATAGAGTTTGTACAGTCAGTGTTTATGGTAAATGCCTGTTTCACAGCAGGTTTGTTGACCAGAGACAAATTCTTTCATCTCATATTGTTCTTCTTTCTCTTCCATCACTTTCTTCTTGTCTCAGTCCTCTCCCGATATTTGATGAAGTATTGAAGTCAGGTTTTAAAAAAGTGACACACACGTTCATCTCTGTAAATTCATCTGTCCTTCTTTGCCTTCAGTTCATTCTCTACTGCAGTCTCTTTGCTCTCTGCCAGCACCCATCCTCACCCTCCATCACCCCCACATTTCATCCTGTCCTCTCCCTGTCTGTCCCCCTACTGTACTGCCTCTCCCTCTGTTCCCCCCCTCTCCCCTCTCCTCTCCCCCTCCCAGATGGGCCACGTGAACCCTCTGTAGTAAAATTAACTTTGAGATGAACGAGGCTACGGCTGTTTGCGCATGCAGTCTGATATTCTGCCAAAAGCGCAGTGAAGGTTATGTCTTGATCTATTTACTGCCAAGACTCTTCTGTGACTCGCGGCATCTCGATTTATGCTCTGGTTACTAAAAAGAAACAATTCTTTCTCTTGCCAAAAAAGAGATTTCGAGGCAGCAGGGCAGTCTGGTGTTTGAAGTGACTTTGTCGTTTCAGCACATCAAAGTTTGAACCCCATCAAAGGATGCACCTGCTGGGTAATGTGGCTCCAAATGTGATAAAAGAATAATAGATACTTGCCTTTTTTTTAAACAGGCGGGTTTTGAGTAACCAACAAGCACTGAATTGTTACTGCGGGTGTTTTTTACTTTTCAAAAATAATTGTCCATGCTTGCATAGAAACCAACACTTTGGAGGAATCAAAGCTGGTACACACAATTGTTTCCCCACGCTGAAAGCACCAATTAGTTTTCTGTTATTTAACTTCTATATTCAATCACTTCTTTGCTTGTGGCTTTCCTCATTAGTTATATACACACTCAAGTGTTTCGCAGTTTGTGTCTCCGACTGTCGCTGTGTGTGTTTTTTATGTGCGGCAATCTGAAGGGGATTTGGCAGACATGCTTGTGCAGTAGGAACTAAAAGCAAGTTAATTGTTCCCTTAGGAAGCGTTCAAACAGGCCGGACCACTCAGAATTATGGGCCGAGGATAAAAATGCAGATTTTTTCCTCTTTTCCTGTCAATGACTTTTTTTTTTTTCTTCCCCTCATCAATGATTTTCACTGTGAGTTATTACCGCAGAAGCAGACCCTGTACTGTGTGAGTGTGTATGTGTGGATCCTCTGTCATTAAACCCCCTCTTCTCTTCTGTTCTTACATCACATGATTTGACAGTTTTACAATGAATACCTGCAAACATTTAATTAAATGGGAGATGCATACGTGCTCTCAATAATCCCACTTCATGCTTTGTAATTAACTCCACATTCACTCTCACTTAATTGTTTTTAGAGGAGATAAGATATTAAAAAACAAACAATATTTTTTTTTTTCTGCTATAGCTGTGAGACAACATTATAACCCTGACTAGACAGGTTGAGATCCAAGCAGACAGACAACAAAATGAACAGGAGTATAAAGGTTCTTCTTACAGGTTTTGTAGCTCCACGTGTCGATTTGTTGTCTGCCGGGTTGTGATTTGAATAATTAATTGCTACTTATTGTCTTATTGCTTCGAGGATGTGGATTCTCAGACGATGCGCTGTGGTGTTTTTCCCCCGCTCAGAAGACGAGGGAAAGTGATATCTCTCAATGATTGCCCTCTCGCTCTCTCTCTCACTGTCTTTCAGTAAATGAGGGAAAGTGATATGGTCCTCTAATGACCCGTGTGAATAATTGCCGTCTAAATAAAGGCTCTATTTGGTGCAAGAAATCGTCTGCTCTGTCTCTCAGTATTTCTCTCATTGACTCCCCAGTGGACCGTCTTCTGGTAACAACCCTCCTGCAGCC